TTTCTCCTTTGTGTATTGTTCAAGTGTCAGTGTTTTGGGGGTTTTGTGTTTCATTTTTTGGGGGGGATAGACCAGTGGCTTTTACTGTGACACAACTTCTTTTTGAGTTCTTACCGAGGAGGAGGTTGCTTACATACAAGTCCTGGATAACCAGTCAAAGAACAAAATTTTTTCAGGAAATTGTATATGTCAACAGTACAGTAGGAGTAGATTCAAGTTAATTTTACCCTTTCTGGGTTTCCTCCCCTTGACTGCCTCCACCAAAAACTGCATTTACTGAAATACTATTTTGGGCATTCCTAAATGTCAGGATTTGGTGCTGGTAACAAATGATAACTGTGTGAGAGGTTGTCCCGTACAACATCTTCATGAGATGAGATATGTGAATCCCAGGTAATTTCCTCTTGAGTTTAATGAGGATAGAAGCTTCAAATTTGACCTTCAGTTATTAGGAGAGGAAGCTCCTCTTACAGATTTGTGCTAGCATGCGTCCTGCAGCCTTCTAATGCAGTTTGCCATCACTGATTTTAGTAAGAGTGGAGTGATGCCTCTTTCCCTTTTCTCGTGCAAATGTAGAATCATTGTTTCAGAAGGCTATCAAGAATTTAGCCAACTCATACAAAGCAGAATATGTCTAGCATGAAGAGACTGAATTTTGGGCCTGGCTGGGAATTGCAGTGGACGCATCCAAATTTCAGCCTTTGATAGCTGACCAGTATGGCTGTAGGTCATAAGGTTAAATGACAACCATGTATTATCCTTTCTTCCTCCTCATTGTTGTCTCTGCTTTGTGACTAATTCCAAGGTTTCCCTGTGAGTCCAGTCTTTCATTTTTGAATGTCTTTGAGCGATTAGGAATCAATTAAACCTTCCTTAGTCTATACCAAGCTGAACCACCACTGTTGTGATATAATACATTCTGTGCACAGAAAGGTTGTCCCCTGGGATATCTTGGAGCTAGAATCTTCCAAATCTTAGTATTCAAAATGCTGTTTGAATGGAAGGGGTGATGTCTTGGGTTTATCATTGATATCTGTATGTTTTTCTGTTCACTTGTCGTTGGTGTTTGGGTTTCAGCTTTTGTCTTAGTAACATTTCTTAAAATTTTTAATGGGCAATGTTCTCTTCTAAATCCTTTCCCATATAAATAATTGTCACATTGGGTAAAAATGAACAGATGGTTTCTGCTCATACGTAGAATTCTATAAAAAACTGTTAAATAGGTTGTGGTGTGAAAGTAGAGTTAGTCTGAGCTGTATTAGTTGTGTGGTTAACACAAGTATTAACCAGAAAAGTCCATGCCAAATATTGAGGTACAAATACAGCTCAAAATTGATTTTTTGCTTCCAGAAACAAAAGAACAAAAGTATTTTGCATAGGAGATGTAGACCTCATTTCAATTCTTGGTGTCTAAAAATAAAAAAGTGTTTCTGTGGTAGCTGAGGAGAGACAGGTATGTGTGTTGGCCATTCCTCCTAGCTAAGTCTAAGCTCCATGGAATAAACTGCTCTCCAGTGGTGAGCCATTTGACCTTTTTAAATGGCAGCAGTTGAGATGGGTCCTGTCCACTATCAATAGGAAACAGAGGTTCTCCCATGAATGTTGTGTCCTTCAAACCTGTGGCTGTCTTATCGGGGTTCCCTTATCTTTGTTACTGCTTTATTACAGTTTCCAAATTACCCCTTCCATCTGCAGAACTCCGTCTCCGGAGGTTCCTTGTTTGTCTCCAAGCAGTTTCTGTCTGGGTTTACGGAATGAAGAGGAAAGGAAAATGATTGGGGTAGAGTTTTGGTTTTGGTAGGGTTTTGTATTGTTTGGGGATTTTTTTAATCAAAAATGAGCTTTCTAAATAAGACAAAGGACTTTGTGTCTCCTAGGATAGGTGAAGGAGAGAAAGAGAAACCAAAGTTCATTCAATATGTTAGATTAGAAACTGATGCCTCAGAGACTTGGTACAAAATAAAAGTTGCTTGGCCAGTAGATTTTACTGAGCAAGGTGAAATTTCTCTTCAGAGTAGAGGTCAAATCTTTCAGGATTGTGGAGGATGTGCTAGAGAGGTAGGAACTGAAAACATTATTAGGAAAAAATGTGGGTTTTTTTGGAGTGTACCAGTGATCTGCCTTCCAGATGCTATTTACTGTCATGCTTTCTAACTTGCACTTTTTTTTGCATCTTATACATACATTCTTTTGGTAGACAACAAATCTTCAGGATTTTTTATTTAGTCTGTTGTGTGTGAGAGAAAGAAAGACAGAGAGAGAGAAATTCTAATCAGTAGTCAAGATGACAGTTATGAGGAAACATGAAAAGGGGCCAAAAAATAACAGCAACTCCCAAACTGTAAGTGCTTTGGGAACAGAACTTTGGCAAAATTCATTCCCTATATTGCTCATAGTGCTTTTAAGAGAATAATTTGGAAGGATAAGGACTTCTAAGATTGGGTATATTCACTCATACTTCATTACGGAATCTGTTGGGGAAATCTTTTGTTAATTTTAGAAGATGAAGTGTCATGAAAGACTTCTTAGTAAAGTTGGCATACTAGAATAAACTGGTGATTCGTATTAGTGGAAAGTGGAGCGGTAATCATTTTAAGTGTACTGAAGGAGTTTGGTAAAGCTGCTAATGTACAAAAATATGCTAATTATAACCAGTCAGAAAACGAGGCTGCAGTAAATGGTATTTGTATCTTCAAAAACTGTGGGAGGGTGATCTTCTTGAGCTCTGGGCCTCAGTGCCATATGATATCTAATCAGAAGAGGTTAGTATGATTCAAAAATAATTGGGCTGTTGGATGTATAACATTCGTTTATACAAGGAAAATACAAACAGCAAAATACAAACCTGGGGGTTGGATCCACAGCCTTATTTCAGGGGGAACAAATTTCTACTGATATTGGAAAAATCAGAATGAGGTAGTAATAAGTTTGTGAGGATATGTAGATGTCACATTTAATAATTATTTACAGGAAGCAAGGTGGGCAGTATTTACTTTTACCACAGTACAAGAACAGACATTTAATTAATGTTCAATACCCTGAACATTAATTAAAGACTGCTTCCTTAGTCCTTACATCATGTCTTGCTAACCTGTGAAGCTCAGTGCTGTATGATAGCTAATCTGAAGAGCTTAATAATATTAAAAAATAATTAGACTTTGGATGGAGACCATCCTCTGTTATCTTAAAAGGTAAGGAAAAAGATAAACCCTCCAGCTTCAAAGATGAGTTGATACGACCAACACTGAAAAAACTTGACTGTTGGCCATCGCTCATTAAAAAGCTTGTGGATCAGTCATTGCTGCTGCTGGGTTAGGAGAGAAAACAGAAGGGCAAACAGTCTGCTAGGAGATACTGCTTGCTGAAGAAAACACTTTTACAAATGGTTGTCTGGGCCACTTTGGTTTTGCTTTCAAAGCATCAAATCTCCAGGACCAGGTGTGAAATAACATCATACATACTGCTTTTCTTGGATGTTTGTCTGTACATTAACTCAAATACTGCAATGGAGATGTCATCAGAAAAGCAACTAAGTTAGTATTACAGTTACGGGTAGATTTCTGTCATGGCATTACTCACTGGGATTTTTCTTTTTTTTTTTTTTTTATTAATTGGAAGTGTATGTTTACTGTGTGTGACTTACATTGGCATTACATGCCTCCTACAGCAGGGAGAGTGAGTGACGTTTCTTTCTTGTTTGCATACTGTGGTGAGTTAACCCTCACTGGATGCCAAGTACCCACCAAAGCTTCTGTATCACTCCCCTCCTCAGCTGGACAGGCAGGAGAATAGATAAGAAAAGACTGGTGGGTTGAGATAAGGACAGGAGAGATCACTGGCCGATCACCATCAAGGGCAAACCAGACTCATCTTGAGGAAGTTAATTGAATTTTTTTACAAATCAAGTCAGAGTAGGATAATGAGAAATAAAACCAAATGGTAAAAACACCTTCCCTCCATCCCTCCCTTTTCTCCAAACTTAGCTTAACTCAAAAATTTTCCACCTCTCCCCTCTCAATGGTGAAGGGATTGGGGAATATGGTCAGTTCATCACATGTTGTCTCTGCTGCTCCTTCCTGCTCAGGGGGAGGACTCCATGCTCTTCCCCTGCTCCAGCATGTGGTCCCTCCCATGGGAGATAATCCTCCATTAACTTATCCAGCGGACTTCCCATGGACTGCATTTCTTCGCAAACTGCTCCAGCATGGGTCCTTCCCATGGAGTGGAGTCCTTCAGGAACACGCTGCTCCAGTGTGGGTTCCTCTCTCCATGGGGCCACAGGTCCTGCCACTAGCCTGCTCCAGTGTGGGCTTCCCATGAGGTGACATCCTCCTTTGGGTGTCCACCTGCCCTGGTGTGGAGTCCTCAATGGGCTGCAGGTGGATCTCTGCTGCACCGTGGACCTCCACGGGCTGCGGGGGCACAGCTGCCTCACCACGGTCCGCATCACAGGCTGCAGGGGAATCTCTGCTTCAGAGCCTGGAGCACCTCTTCCCCCTCCTTCACTGACCTAGGTGTCTACAGGGCTGTAGCTCTCACATACTCCTCTCCTCTGTGGCTGCAGTTGCTTCAGCACAGAAACTGTTTCCTCATTTTAAAGACCTTATCCCAGAGGCGCTACCCCTGTCACTGACAGGCTCTGCCTTGGCCAGCAGCAGATCTGTCTTGGAGCTGGCTGGCATTGGTTCTGTCAGACAGGGGGAAAGCTTCTGGCAGCTTCTCAAAAGAAGCCACCCCTGTGGCCCCCCAAACCTTGCCCCTCAAACCCAATACAAATCAATTCTGTGGACAGTTATACTTGAACCAGGGAGACAACACTGTGACTGGAAAATTACCAGCTGATACGAAAGTGTCTTATATTGGTTTGCAGAATATAACAGATCTTTTTCTATCAGTTTTGTAAGAACAACTTATATGGTCAGATTTATTGTGGGAATTTGGTTTGGATCTTAGGAGATTTAAATTAGCAAGCATCTTAAAGTTATCTGCATTTTTTGCAGGGTATTATAGAGAAATCGAAAGTGAAAGGAATTCCCATCATTATTGATGCAGTAAGTATTTTCTTGATTTCAGTCAGTGGTGTGAAATTTAAGAATCTGTTTAGTAAATATTCTTCTTACTGTGCTTTGCAGGATGGACTGTGGCTCATTTCCCAGCAGCCTTCTCTCATTCAAGGCTACCAGCGAGCTATTCTTACTCCAAACTATATGGAGTTCAGTAGGCTGTATGAAGCCATGGTGAGCTGCTCTCCTTTTTTGATATTTAAGTATGTGCAAGTTTAATATTAGTTTTAGTCCTTAAAAATAAATAACTTATTACTGGCTTAAATATTATGTGCCATTTCTTATATGTGAGGGAAGCACTCCCTGGGTTTTTATTCCCTGGGATAATTGCCACAACAATGCATGTTCTTAAACAGATCTCTTTTTTAAAGAAGACCCACTCTCATGCAATTTTTGGCATTGCAGTGGGTATAGGAAAAACTACCTGGAAAGACTGATGATACTGCCTTTTTTCTTTCCCCATGTGTATGCTGAAGTAGAGTGTGTAAGAATGTGTTGTTCTAGTAGCAAAATATGTACTGTGTATGGAATTCTTGTGTTGTAGCTTAGAGACCCCGTAGACAGTAGTGATCATCATGGATGTGTATTAAGACTCAGCCAAGCCATGGGGAACCTGACAGTTGTTCAGAAGGGAGAAAGAGATCTTATTTCAGATGGAGAGAAAGGTAAGTGAAGCCTTTTGCTTTGAATAATGTGATTGTTTCATTTTGTTTGCTTTCAGTTGCAGTCTAGTGGTTGGACTATGTAGCAATTGGTTGCATTCCTCTGAAGATTGAAATGGAGCGATGGCTGTCTTTGCAGATCACCTTTAGAGATTTGTGTAAATTGATATTTTAAGACTGCAACTCAACTCATTTACTGAAAAAAGTTGCTGATTTTATTTGCCATTTAAATGGTTGTAACTTACATTTTACATTACGCAGGTATTGAGAAATTTGTCACTTATTAATGTGGTTAAAGTAGACTTAATAAAATTAGCTGCCTGTCTGATGCTTTTTATGCTGATCATTTACTGTTATCAGTATAAAATTAATTCACAAGTGCCTTCATCGCATTTTGACTGCATGGTCTTATTTCAAATACATAACAAACAGCAGCTCTGCTTCTAATTACTTGAAATGCTAATCTGTGATAAATGTTTATGCTGCTTCAGAACTGTTTTGTATATACAGTCAATTTTTCATTATTGGGAGCCATGGGAGTATTTTGTAACCGAAAAGCAGATGTAATATGACAACTGGTTTGTGCAGAGCCACCTTCCACACATACCCCATTAGTGCAGATACTGTAGCAGATGTGAAACAACTGGTGCCTGGAAGCAATATAGTTACACCCATGTGGTAAAGGACTTTGGTCATATAGTACCCAAGTTGCCCCACAGGAAGTCTGCTGTCATATTTGCACCCATGGCAACCTTGATTTGTAGCCTTGGACAGTCCGGCCAGGCTTAAGGGAAGATGAACACTGCCAGCAGATAAATGTCTTGACTCCAGTTTATGCCAGACAGAGAGCTTCAGAGTGCTGTAGTTGTCTCCTTTTTCTGCTTTTATGTCAACAATGCTCCTTTTTATGCAGGAATGTTGCTTTCTTATGAATGTTGGGAAAACTGATGAGTGCTTTAGATTGGACACATTTTCTAGTATATATGTCTGTTCCCCTTTTGAGCTGTTATTCTTGAAAAGTGTGTACAGCCCCCTCCCCCTCCAGTTTCTGGAGAGAAAGTTCACTGTTTCCAATGCCTCTTGTCATGCAGGATTCAAAGAAACAGGAAACAACTGAAACTCTTTCCAATTTCAATTTTGAATATTCACATGTGGCACAAGTTGGTGTATGCCTTATGTGGTTTAGGGGTTTTTCATTGGTTTATTTTTTTACCCCACCTTGTTTTTTGTCTCTGTTGTGTTCTGATATTTTTTCTATTCGTGAAGTGGCTTTTGATTAGAAATAAACCCAGTTCTGTGCCTTTATAGCCGTTGATTGATGTCCAGCTATAGGCTGCTTCCTTGTTCTTACCTTGTTTCCATCACTGATGCTTTATCTCCTGGATTATAGACATTATGGGCAGCATTACTGTGCTGAGCTGAGCTGTAAGAGAGCAATTGTCAGGTTTGATGCAGGTTAGAATGTCTGCTACAAAAACTGTTTGCATGAGTTTGCATGACTTGCAAGAAGGAATTACAGACTTCAGGTTCCTTTTGACAAGAATCTTCTTTGGGTCTGGTCTGTTGGTCATTTTTTTAAAGCTTCTCAAATGCAAAATTACATTAAGGAAGGAGATTCTGCTGTGTGCTCTGTGCCACAACATGGAATATGTTGTCATGTCACTGACCTTTAACTTTCTCCCAGGTTTTTTGCTCTTATCTTTTTTCATCTGTCTCTTCTTATGATCTGATGTCATTTTTTTTCAGCTTAGACAACATGCATCTTGATTCCTGTGTGAGGGAAGTCCAGATCACTGGATCAGGCCAATGTCCTTTGAGCACAAACATTATGAAAAGATTTGTGTACTTCTCTTTATTTATCATGTCATCCTCCCTTTGTAGTGCTTAAGGCCTGCCTATTTTCAGGCATTTCCTGCTTGAGCTCCTGTGCTTAGCATACTGACACTTCAGTTTTCATATATCACTTTTAAACTTTCTCTTTTAGGAATACACTGCATGCATGCTTTCTGGGTAAAAAAAAAAAAAAGGGGGGGGGGGGAAGTAAGTCTTTGCTTCCAGGAAAACCAGAATTTGAGAAATCACAAACTATGTAGCTTTAGTGTTTTGTGCTTGGCTGTTGTGGAAGGAGGGCTTTTTGAGGGTGCCAGATTTTGCAGTAGGGAAGATTGGCTTGGTTGGAGTGATTGTAGTTTTTGGTTTATTTTCACAGTACTTTTATTCATGAGTCTGTAGGAAATTCAGTAGGCAACTTAGTTCTGTTAGCTGAAGACAGAAGGGGTTAGCAGGTGATTTGGTATAAGCTGGAAGTACAGGTGTTGGTGAAGGATTACTGTGAGCAAATAGCTTTGTAATCTAAGCAGAGAGGCTCAGTAAATTCTGTTTGGGAGCTGAGTCTCAATAAATTCAAAGTAAGGCAGATTTTATTAATAGACACAGAAATTAGCTATTGCAGTAACATACCAGGGACTTCGGCAGATTACCGTACTGTGAAGTGTCTGGACACCTTTGAGGTTTGTTTTTGCAGATCAGATTAGCTGATGCAGGTGGTTCCTTACGGCCTCAGAGTCAGTACCACATCACATACATGGCCTCTCTTAAAGCAGTAGTAGTCCTCCACTGTAAAGGAGGTTTACCTATAATCTGTCTTCATTTCAGTTATGAGCTGCCAACTGCCCTGTAAACACAATCAACAAAGATTTTAAATTAAGTTTTATATACTCTTTTTCTCTTTCCTTTTGCAATTTCACATTATAGCTTGGTCTACAGTTGTTGATTCCCTGCTCTACAAAGATGAGCTTCACCATGCTCTTGGTAGGTGATATCAGTGCCATCACTGACCAGGGTAGGAATGAGTACTCAGCCTGTGGGTAAGAGGTAAGTCAGCTTTTATTCACTATGGCACAGCTCTCTAAAGTTATCATTTTAGTATTCTTTGGAGAACTGGTCAATAATAAAGTGTGGTTATACCAGTCTTAGTTCCTAACATGTTTAAAATTTGGTTAGGTCCTTGAAGTAGAGGATTTGGATTTTGATTTTTAAACATTATAATGAGTTTCTCTGTGTTTTGCCCAGCACCTGTGTTTAGCCCTCCTCCCTTCCAAGAGCCCTTCCAAGGCTTTATGGGTAACCATCCTGCTACTGCCTGTGACTATTTTTACCTGAAGCCAATAGCCAAATACAGTTTCTCTCCAGTTGCCCAGCTGTGACTATGGTGAAGAGAAGCAAAGAAGCATGCAAGAGGGAATACTGAGTACTGACTGTGGGGTAAAATGCCAACTCTTGTCATAAGTCCCCAAGCAGTACTTCTAATTTCTGACATTCGTCTCCCTATACAGTTGTAAAGGAAGCTGTTCAGTGCTTGTCACTCTCTGGCTCACTCACAGCTGCTGAGCAAATCTTGCCTGGATTTTTAACTGAGAGGCAGCACCTTCATCTCCAGTCCTGCTCCTGCAGAGTGAGCAAAACGAGAAGGTCATGGTTCCTGTCCATTGTGCCACTGTGCGCTCTACTGCACATGCAGCCCAGCCTGCTGTCTCCCCGGCACGGCTCACCTGTCATCATGATCATCCCCTGGCTCCTGTGCCTGTCCAAGAAAACTAATATAAAATTTGGGTCATTTTCTTTTAACCTGAATTGCCTGGTATCTCTCCTTCAAGGACTTATCTAAGTTTTAAAAGTGTGAATAGGGAATATAAAAGTATAAGCACCCTTTATATAAAAGCCAGCTTACATTTTCCACATCAGTTGAGTTATTTCTCCAGCCAAAGTCATTAAACTTAGTTTCCCTGTGTATATACACTCTGGGACTCCACAATCTCCAGCTATGTGCTTTTGTGAAGTAACTTGCAAAAGGAAAAAGATAAATTTCATATTAAAGTATCTGTCACGTCAGAGATGTATACTGGGATTTTACTCAAAATCTGATAATGGTCTAAATCAGAATCTTGCATTTGATGGAGCAAAATGATCCTTGATAGCTACATTATTTTGCATAGAAAATTGAAATCTTAAGCCTTTTAATTAAGCTAGAATGTGTTTTTTGTGTGGGGTGGCTCATGTTAGCTGATTAATCCAGTTGGGTCATAGCAGAAGTTAGAACAGCTTTTTGTGTCATACATGGATTCCCAAGCACATTAGGGTGAGTGTAAAACTCCTTCTCTGTAAGAGGAAAGCAAGTGCAAAGAATTGCTCAGGATATCTGAGATTCAGGAGTTCAATTTTAATCTCTGGGCTGTCTTTCAGTCTGTAGTCCCAGCAAATGTGATGTTTCACAGGCTCTTTAGCCTTCTTTACCATCAGTACTATGTGTTTAGCCTTAACTAGCTATCTTTCACATGTTGTGTTCTAAATACAAACATAAAAGAAATGAATCTCTGGGATGGTTCTTTTCAGTACTGTGTGAACATGGTGAAGCAGGCATATGTGACTTTTTGTACTACTTTTGTTTTCTGAGTGTGATGTATCTAGGAGCTGGCATTGTAAATGGCGCTGCCTGCGTACAGCCATATCAAAATCTGTGTTTCCCAGTTAACCTGCAGTGCTTGAGCTCAGCAAAACTACTACATTCTGATTTTTTTCCTTCAAAGAGAGTACAGCTCTTTTCAGTTACATAACAGACTTGGGGTTTGGTTTAGGTTTTTTTTTTTTTTTTTTTAAGTTAAGCATACAATACCCATAAATAGGTCATTCTTCTGGACTTTGATCTGCCAGCAGATTTTGGGCTGGGAGTTCTTTCAGATTAAAACTTGGCAGTGGTACAGTTAAGTGTGACATTGTGGTCTGAATGCTTTCCCAAATTCTAATGTGTATCATATCTTCAAGGAGTGCTGAAAAGGGACTGATGGTATCTTATTTTATGGCCTGAAATATATTAAACATAGAGCTACTAAATGACTTGGCCATAGTTGCCCAGAAGGTCTGGGGCAGAGTTTTGAATTGTTTGGAGCCTAAAACTCTTGAATTTCTACTTTCCAATATTCTATCAGTATGACAGCCTTCTATTTTTTTGCTTTTATTGCACTCATATTTCATTACAAATTATTTCCATGGAATTACATATGCAAGAAATCCATGTGACTATATGTGAGGGATGTGTTGTATTTGCTGCCTAAAGCTCTGGCAGTATTATGTGCTGTTTACTCGCTGGGACTGTATTGAAACCATCGAATAGGACTGTGGTTGTTCTGACTCTGGCAGATCTCCTTGCCATACTTCATGCAGGCATTTCTTCACTCATGACATTTTTATTTCATCTAGCCTTTTCTAATGATAGTATGTGTGTGCTGCATGGATAAGTGCTGGGGAGCTGAGTAACTTTTTTTTCCTGCAAAGTTACTTAGCATAAAAAAGCTTTCATTAAAAAACTGTTACTTACACTGAGGTGGGTTTTTTTGATTCATCACCCTGTGAAATAATGACATCAGATTTGGTTGCCCAGACCTATTAGAAAACAAAACAAGACACCCTGCCCCAACACTCAAACCACCTTGACCAGCATGAATTGTGTGTTTCTCTCTCTTATGGTGTCAGTTGAATTACAGCTGAAAGTCTTTGTTACTTTGATCGGACTTGTGTCTGACTAACTGACCTTAAGTGGCCCTGGTTGCCACCTTCCAAAATTGACACATTGTGGTCATTTTAGTCTTTGTAGTTTCCTTGTTGTCCTGTGTCCAGTCATCCTGATCTCCTCAGCTGTTCCAAGAACCATGTTTTCGAGGTTTTCTGATGTACATGTCCCCCCTAGTTGAACGTGCTGCAGCCTCACTGAGCAACGGACCAAAAAATTCTCCTGTAAATACATCGTTCCGCATATCTCCAGGGAATAGAGCTGCCCACCTTCTCAGCATCATCGCTGACTGTTCAGTCATGTCCGTCTAATTGAGGTCTTGTAACGTTGCCACTGGTTGTCACTGCTCAGTGCAAACGTAAGGATGTCACCCCCGTGGTCCTTAAAGAACTGCTGGAGCTGACTTCACAGCAGGGCACAGGCATTTAGTGGGGGATGTTGTGTTGGGGGAGTGGGAAGACAGCAGTTTATTTTATTTTTGTAGGAGAAGGCTGGGAAAAACCATCCAGAAGACTTTGTCCTATGCTGATTTGGCAGTGTGCCAGTTTGTTTTGATGGTAGTTGGGATTCCTTCCTTTGTTTTAAAAGCTTTTAATAGTGACTGTAATTCAGAGGAATTTTTAAATCCTTTTCTCATTGCCTGTTGTAATGTTCATCTTGCTTTGATTTTGAGATGTTCTTTGATCAGCTGAGCTTCTGCACGAAAAATTGCCCAAATGTTATACTTTCTCCCCCTCATTCAAGTGAATTTCCTGTAGTTCTGCTTCTCTGAAGGTATTTCATGGATTTGTTTTCCAGCATCACTGTGCAGAGTACAAAGGTCTGCTTTTGTTGTTGCCTGTGAGGTAGTCTGCGCAAATTTGAGACTTACTTTTTAAAACCACAAACAAAAGACCACTTTTTTTTTTTTTTTTTTTCAGCAGAGTATTATAATTGGCCTAGTTTGAGGAGAGCTTGCTTTCCTGTACAGCACAAAAATGACTGGAAGGTTGTGGGGCTACAGAATAGTGGCAGATGGTGACATACAGCTAATAAGCAGGGGCTTGTGCTCAGCTGTCAGTCAGAAGGCCCCAAAGCTTTTGAACAGAGGATTTCCATCCTGCCTCCTGCCAGGAGTTCAAGCCCTCAAAGTGAGAATCCTGTGAGATAGCATCTTCAAAGTAGCAGAATTAGAGGTAATTTCTCCAAAGCACTGTATTTAAAATAAAAATAAGAATAAACCATGCACCTAAAAGGGCATACCTTCTTCAGATAGCTAATTCAGAAGGGCATTTAACTTGTGAAATTTGACATTAGCTACTGCTCACTGAGAAACACCTCCAGAATCTTAATTTGAGAGGGGGAGGGGGAAGGGAAGAAAGAGTGATTGGGAAAATGAACTGCTGGCAACGCTGCAGTGGTGTCTGCTGTGTTCGTGGTGACTAATGAATCTTTGCCCTCTCAGTGGCAGCAAACACACACAACTGCCTGGCCTCACAAGCCCAGCAATTACTGCTGGAAGAATTGGTAGGAAATGGAAGTGAAGTACAAATCTTTGCTGTTCCATCATTTCTGGTATGGAAATGAACTATGCTAATGGACTGGAAGGTGTTTATTTGCATTATGTAGTTTTTTACTGCTTGCTATTTAAGAAGATTTATCTGCAAGTCCTTCAGTTTTGTTCAGATTTTTCCCATTAGTTCGTAAGAGAAAAATTCCATTTAAAAAATGTGGGTACTACTCCCTCTGAAGCAGCTGGGCTGCTCTGTTTATACACCTTGGAGAAACCCAGCCCAGGTGACTTGAGATAAGAGCTGTTGTTCAAGCAATGTCTTGCTTTATCCTTTGCTTGTGTACTTGGTGTGCTCAGGAGCACAAACAATTGTGTGCACAGTCCTGAACCTGAGTGGCTCTGCGGTAGCTGGCTGGAGGTGCTAAGGATCACTACTTGGTGATTCTGCCAGCTCTTCCATTCTCCTAGGAGAGGAAAATAAATTTCTCCTGGGTTTTTTTTTCAGAGCCAAGCAAGAAGAAAAGCTAAGGGTAGGTACACAAGAGAGTTTGGAGAAGGGTAGCAGAATCAATGCTGTTTTCTTTTTGTGTGCCATAGGTATCCTTCAGGTTTCCCGCCTGGGCTTGTTAAGAGGGGAGAACAAAGGAGTTAAATGTAGTGAAATCATTTGCATATTCTTCATAGTTAAAGCTCCACGAAGAGATCAGTTTGACTAAGGTCCTTTGTATATTTAAATTAGAAATGTAACATCTGATAACCTGACAGAGCCTATCCACGGTGACAGAGGCATACATGGATGCTGAGGACACTGTTGAGGGGCAGAAAAATTACATCTGTCTTGCATATGGTTTTTACAAATCCTGAGGAAAAGGCTGTTTTCAGTAAAATACCTTTGTGATGGGCATGGTAGAAGATTTGAGATTTTAGTTCTGTTTTGCATTTGCTCTTTGTGAAATGCCTTGGTTTACATTCACAAACGTGGAAGGTCAGAGACTCTGAAGGGTTGTGTTTACATGATGGCTTTGTGGAGGGACCTGGTCCCATTTGGGTGATGGCTCATCATGTCATGTGGATCACTAAACTCATCTCTGCAGGCTGAGTGAAGTAGAGAAAGTGTGTATATTGTGTGATGTTATTTGTAAAGTATTAAAAGGTAGTCAGAAAAGTATTTTTAAAAATGTTGATGCAGTAATTGATTTTTTTTAAGAACAGCGTGCTTCAGTATATGCTGCTGTCTCTGATTAGTCTCTCACCTCTTAATTGCTGTGTGCCTCAGAGGTTCACCCTTGCAGCTGCAGTGGCATCATCGTAAATGGAAGGAGAAAAGCACCTGACTTTGTTTTTGGTTTGTCTGTTCATAGTACTCGTATGCAGTCATGAAGGAAGCAGCCGGAGATGTGGTGGACAGGGGGACCTTCTTTCCGGTTCTCTGGGAGTCTTAGCACACTGGGCATTTGTTGCTGGAGCTGAAAAAACAAATGGGTATGAATATTAATAATTAACTTAATTGTTGTGATTCTGTGTTCTCCTGTGGCAATGGTTGTAGACCTGCTGTATAAATTTCCAAATGAAATCGGAGTTGTTGGTACAAAGATATCCACGTACTTTTAAAAAATGTGTGTTCTAGAGCAATCTACGTAGTAATAGTTTAATAAGACAAACCCTTCAGTAATCTAACATCCCCAAGTCCTGAGGCAGAAGAAGAGCATGAATCTGGATCTATTCCAAGGACATTTATGTATGAGATAGGTATTTTCAAAACAATTGAATGTAGGCTGAAAGTACGAAGAATAAGTAAGTGGTAATCATTGGTAGTACCATCTCTGTAATTCAAAAAACATCTCATTTGGCTTTGTTTTTGTAATTTGGTGAATCCTTCTGCATTGTGCATAAGTAATTTAGTGGGGCAGGTAAGTTGAAACTTGCAAATAAAATACAGTTTCAAAGAGTGTAACTCTTTTAAGGCCAAAGGGCAGTCCAGTTTGGTTGTACATGAAGCAGCCATGCAGCTGACTGATGGCTTTTTGTAAATTACATCAATTCTTGTCTGACTGGTTGGTCCATATAGTCATGTAGTCTTTCTGTGAAAGCAGCTGCTTTAAATGAAGTTGAAAGGAACCCTGACATAGGGAGTTGCAGTCCCTCTTCTCTATAAGCAATAAGCTATGAAAGTTTGAGGAGTGGAGATCTTTTGTAGTCTTTTTGATGCTGCATGCAGATGCACACAATTAGATGTTCATAGGAGTCAATTAGTCTGTGTTTGTTTTACCACAAGGGGCAGTGCAGTAGGTGTGCTCCAGGAGGAATGAGGGACCAACTGAACCAGACCTTAAAATTCTGAACTCTAACGTACCCAAAATGGAAGAGTTGCAGCTGCCACTAAAGGAGGAATTTTGTTTTAATTCGCTAAAAGGGTGACTTCATTTTTGCTTGGGGTACAACAGAGCAGTATTAAATTGCTGGAGAAATTAGCAAAGGCAACACATGTTCTCCAGGCTCTCCTGACTTGAGCTCCTGTAGCTTTTCCAAATAGCTTGTTCAGAAACTCCGTTATTGTATAGATGAAGGAAAGAATAATTGGCATCAGCAATACATTGTGTCTCCTGTGGTCGTGTTAAGGTGACCCTTCACAAACACCTGCTGTACCAATCCTGTCTACCTTGTGTGTTTCAGGAGAGGAAGATGCTCTTGGGTTCAGTGAGTCAGGGCATCTGCTTGCAGACTGCACTGCAGGCAGTCCAGCCAGTCTTTCCACGCTTGTGCCTGACTCTGTCGTTTCAAAACAGGTCTGTGCAGAGTGGAATTTTGAAACAAGTGTTTTAGCTGCCTTAAGCCCAGGAGCCTGTGCACAGCTCGTTTCAGAGCAGTATTTGGGCATCCAGGATTGACTCTCGGGGTGGCTTAAATACTCCTGCACCTTGATGAGTTGTATGGAGTTGCCCCTTCAATAACACCTAATGGTAAACTCGTGTCCTGTTTTGCGTGTGCTTTAACATCAGGATCCTTCACGAAACTCTCACTTGGCCGAGGAGTAAGTAGGTCCTTAGTGACTCACAGGCAGCGATGCCTCAGCTGTGGCTGAGCTTTGTAAGGTTTTTAATCAGCCAGAACCTGGGGCCCAGGCTGCTGAACTATTCTGCAGGTGTTTTCTGTTGTAAGGCAGCAGAAGTGACTCCCATGGCCCAGCCTGTGAAAAGTGCTCTGGCAGTGGCAAGACTGTGCTGCCTTTTCCAGGGGAGGTTCAGCATTTGAGGTCTGGGGCTGGGTACACTCTCTTAGGCAGTTTGTAAGCATGGAGGAGACATTAAGGCAGTGTGCCCTAATTTCTGTCGTGGGCTATGGCTGTCACTGTACCCCTTTTTGGCTGGTATCATGAGGGCTCTGGAACAGTCACTATGGCCCTGTCAAAAATCATCTCATCTGCATCCCCATATCCTTCCCCCACCCCCTTCAAGACAAAACTCAACAGTTACCCAGCACATGGAGAGGAAAGGGACTTTAAAGGCTGCTAGGTGATACTCGGTCTTCTTCTATAGGAAAGGATGAAGCATCACATCAGTAAAACTAGACATGGATCACATTCTTCCCCACTTTTTAAGCCTGTTTTCCTCTTGTGTCCTTTGGCCCTGGTTTCTCAGTCATTCACATGCTATGCCATGGGTAGGGAAGTATTTGTTAAAAAAAAATCAGACGAAGATGTTCTGCAGTGAGTCTGAGAAACAGATGATTGTTTAAGAGGCTTTCCTGGCATTTAGGGGTACAAAGGTGATGCCCACCACGTTATGGATTGCACAGGAGTGTTTGGATTCTCTTGATAATGTGGGTTTTTTTTGTTTTTTTCCTTTTAGTCAAAATCCCTTTCTAGTGGCTGCGTTTGGAGCTTGCTCTCTCACAAGGCAGACTAACCACCAAGCCTTTCAAAAATTCGGACGTTCAATGACAGCCTCTGACATGGTTTCAGAAGTTGGAACAGCTTTTAGCAAGCTTTATGAAACCTGAAGCCAAAGCAGCAGAGAAGAAAAGGAAGAACAATGACTGCAAGAGTAATTACATGTACCGTAGAATTTACATAAGTAATGCACCCTTTCAAGTGCTGTAGCGACATTGGTATGTTAGGTAGATCTTTTTTATTTTTAAGAATAGAAAAATATGATTAATGTAGATATTTTTTAAGAGTTTGGAATACAAAAATGTTTTGGCTGAAATAAGCTGTAGTTGCAGATCTGTTATAATATAATAAAACTAAACTGAAAGTATTCCTCTGTTCTTTTTGATAGTTATTGAGCAATAACTAAAGTGTGAACAGCAAAAAAAATGCACTTGATATTTAGATAAAATTCTTCCACCAGCTCAACTGAATTTCTTGGATTACACCAAGGTTGTCATGTTGTCATTCTTAGAACCTCTGTCTAGAATTAGCTATTGCACTTCAGTTTTTTGCCATGCTAGTATATTAAGAAGCAAAAAATAAGCCTCTTTGGAAAGGGAATGCATGAGAGTTGCTGTAGATTTTGAATGTAATTAGTTGCCTTTTCTCATTCCCGGTCCCAGAGGCAGCATTCATTTGGACAAGGCATCCCTTCCTGCAATGTCTTATTTTGTTGTTTTATAAAAGGTTCCCCTCGGCAGAATAAGGATATACTGTAGGTATCTTAGCAGCAAAATTCATTAAACAGTAATTAGGCTTACCTGCAAAAAAATTAAATGTCTGTTTCTTTATCTGGTCTGAGTTCCTCTGGAACTCAATATGATAAATTTGTGAAAATACCATTTGGAGAGATACTAAATGGGGCAAGAAACTCAGTGATACCCAACAGAACTGTCAGACTCTCAGTGATCATGGAAGAGCAGAGTGCTTTTAAAACTCCAGTTGCCTGCTGGGTTAGAGCTCGGAGCAGACCAGCACACGGATCCATAGGTGGATAGTAATTAGCCAGCAGGAATACGGGTTGGAGGAACAGAAGGCAGCCCACAGCATGTACCTGTACCACCGAAGCAGTGTGCAGGCAGCTGTGCGCTGCAGGTTAAAGGCAGGAACGGGAAAACGTGGTTGGGTTTGAGCTTCAAGTGCAGTACTCAGTACTTTTACTGTTTTAGAGCAAAAAGCACAGAGGCTTTTTGCCTGAACTTTGCGAGACACAAAACACTGTTAGGGCCACACTGATCTGGCATGTTGGCAGGGCAGGATTTTTGCACACTATAATTTGGTGAACTTTTGGAGATTCAGTCAAAGCTTTTAGGGACTGAATCAATATGGAGAGGGGAGCAAATTCATGCCAAGGGCATTTAAGTGGGTACTGCCCTTGAGCCTCCAATCGAGCTCCCAGCGCTTATGCTCATTAAAGCGCAGGAACGAGCATATGACGTGTGTGGTTATTGCAGTAGATGTTACCTGTTCACCACAGCCCCTCCTGTGCAGGGCTCCAGCTCGAGGTTGGGATGTGGTGTCCCACAGACCAGTCAGACTGTGTTCTCATACCTTCAATAGCTGCCTGCAGTAAGCACCCCAAATCAGAAAGGCTGCTCCAAGTATTTGCCTTCAGCCCTTAGAGTTGATATTTCTGGATGCACTGTGACTACTACCTCACCCTGATGCGTTTTTGTTTTTCTTTCTAAACCAGTTACCTATTTTTAAAATAGGTTTTTAAATGTTTGCTCATGTTGCTCTATGAGGGTTCACAGACTACTCTTAAGAGATGAGGTTTTAGTGTTTAATTTAAGCAGTTTTGTAAACTGCATCTTTGGGGAAACTTAAGCTATTGTTATTTTTTCCCCCCTAAATCTGAGAAGCCTGACTACTTTTAAATTAAATCAGCAAGTTAAAACTGATTTTAAAACAGCTACTGGCTTTTTTTTTTTTTTTTTTGTATTTAGAACATCAGTGGTATTATAATCTAAATGGCATTTGTAGGCGAAGTCAATCAATTAACAGAGCTCAGTACAGATTTCAACCTGCCGTGTTGGTTTTAGATCTACACAGAAGTTGTAACTCTGTTATTCACTAATGTATACAAATTGGTACATTTTTTAAACATTCTGGAAATGTAGCAGTTTCTTTTGGTAGGAAATAAAAATAATAGCAAATTGACTGTGTGGACTTTGTTTGGTGTGTGGTGATCACATTTCCCACAGCTGAGCTGCCTGCTCCCCCTTCGCTCTAGTTTGCTACAACACTGGCGCTAGCAGAGTACAGTACCAGCTGTGTCAAATAAGCACCTGCCCCAGTGCTGGTGAAGAGACACCCCCCTCTTTTCTAGAAGTACCAATAATGGAGAAAGGGAACAGAAAAACAGCTACATGTTTTATCCCTAACAGTAGAAGAGAAAGCCTTAATCCTTTGGAACAGACAGTTTGAAAATACAATGCACAGAAGTGCCCTGTAGATGAACCCCTGTTCTGCTTGGTTTTTATCTTTTCATAAATGGATTAAAAGAAAGTGTGCTTAGAGGTAAGTACCATCCCTGTACCAACTCATCCCTTAGAACACGGGTCACCTCACATGTAAGAGAGGCCTCTGCACCTCTGCCTACAGCCACAGCCTCCAGGGACTGTTTTTAATGCAAACTGTGGCAAAAGCAAAAAGTTAACTGAACAGGTAATAACTAAACATCCTAATTTTATCTTCCTAGTTATGATGGAGAGATCCTGAGTGTGCTGCACTCCCAGGGCTAGAGAAATCTCAGTGTATTCTGTGCAAAAGCAAACTGCATACCACCATATTACAGGTAAAGGTTTCACAGGACCAAACCACCACCACTGCAACAAGGAAATACTTAAAGGCTAAAAGTGCCCTCCACTTCTCTGTCTGAGAGGAACAGAACTGTTGAACCAACAGGCATCAAACTGTTTTCACCTTCAAAGACAGGCCCAAGTTCTTGCCTCTTCCTTCGCTGTGTTTAATTCTCAGTGTCAGGTCAGCAGTAGAGGGTGCAAAGGCAGATCACAGAGCACTTGGGGCTGGGACATTTCTGCAGCAGGGTATGCCAATGTCTGTGTAAGTCAGTGCAGCTGCTTCCTTGCTGCCCTGCATTCTGGGTGCTTCTGCCATGTGCGCTTCAAAGCCTGTATTTATTTACCCAATGGTAGTGCCAGCAGTTTTGCTCAGATTATTGTTGCTAGCCATTTTGTTCCACAGACTTTATTTGGAAAGAATCAGTATTTACAACAGTTGCCAAAGCAGCTGAAATAAAAAACAAGTCCAAAGATCAGCTTTTTTTCTCAGTCTGCTGCTCTGTCTGCCCTCCTTCCACAATTTCCCAGGTTGAAACAGCAGCTCTGTCCTGTAAGAAAAAGTATCCAGGTCAGTCCCAGCATGTGAAGTCACAGGTTTTTAAACAAGATTCATGCAGCAAAGCTATTAATCCAGTTAGTCAGGCAAAGGAGGTGGTGATACCATTTCAGAGGAATGCCACTGCCAATGCCCAGAGCTGTAAAACAAACCCAGATAATCCTTCCCAGCTAAGAAGGAAGAAATACACAATGGAAATGTCACCTCTTCAGCGTGGGATGCTGTGGCAGGGTGTAGACTCTCACATAAGTAGCTTCTGCTCAACTCCTGCAATCGCATTTTCATGTTTGGCTCATGTACATGGAAAACACTCAGGGTCAATACATGAGAATATATTGCTGAACATGTCTGATTTCCTTCTGAACTTGAGGATAGTCTAATACTGTCATATTTTTGAAAGACAATACTACAATCAAATGGAATATTTCTGACTATTTAGATCCAGCTGTTTGCAATGGTTGAAAAGTTGATCTGAATATTAAAATATGAGCTCTGACTCATGAGACATGCTGGGATACAGTGCTGAAATTTTTTTTACATCGAAGTGAAAACTATTTTTGATGCATAAATACACAATTACTACATTTCACTTAGCAGCACAGCTGAGCTTGCATTTCAAGCATGCTATAATGACAAGACAAATGGGTATTTTCTTAATCAGTTTTTTGCAAGTTATGTAACTTCAGGCAACATCATCTGCATCAAGCAGCCTGAGAGAAGAAACTACAAATTCGAAGCTGAAGGAGAAATTACCCTTTTTACAAAGTTGATTTTTAAGGAGATTGAGTTGCTTCTCGAGCCAACCCATCCCTGCCCTCCCTCAACCAGCGGTGTTCCTAGAGTCTCCTCTGCATGGAGATGAGGCTTATCTGCTTCATCTGCTCCACTGCTTTTCCTCCTGCACGTGGACTTGAGAAGTTGCTGGCTTACTTGAGCCTCATGTAACAGAGTGGAATGGAATATGTTAGCAGAGGCATTGCTGTGTGCATATCGTCAGGCTCAGAAGTTTTGTGGCATGTGTGTTCTGGTGAGCCTGTGTGAGGAACTGCAGAGCTGCATGGTCGCAGGACTCTTTAGGATTTGCAAAAACCAAGATGAGAGCAACCTCCACGGCACACCTTTGGATACCTCCATGGTATCAGCAAAAAAAGCACGAGTTCAGCTTTGGATCTGTGCTGTGTGCGCTCATCTGTGCATGTGTGCTTTGTCTTCTGGAGCAATCCCTTCTAGGAGGAGCAGGAGACAGATTGTGCTGAGCTTCAGGTTATTAAAAACATTTTTTAAATAAATGGAATGGTCTGAATCCTGGTTCTGGCCAATTTCTGTGAAGTTTTCATTTTTAAATCCCTTTAAAAAGAAAGCAAAACAAATCTGCACAAGGGTGGAAATGGGGCTCTGGCTGTTCTGCCAATAGATCAAAAGGCAGGCTTCTTCTCCAAGACTTTGAAAATCCAAAAAAATTAAAGGAAGCGGATATTCCAGTTTTCCAGAGTCTTCCTCTGCTTTCACAGCTGTAGCTCACCACCACAGTGCCTTGCCCCTCACCCGGATCAGCACACTCGCTTTCATCCAAGACCCTCAGACGGCGACCACGCTCCGTAGCTGTTTTTAACAGGTGTGCTGACAAGTGACAGCTCTCACATCAGGCAACCAAAGCAGATGTAGAATGTCCCTCCCTGATGACACTGTGCTTTATATCCCCACCACCGGCAAAAGGGTGGAAGCAGACTAGGCAGGCTCAGTTCCCGAGCAAGGGAAAAATAAGCAGCATAAACTAGAGGGAGGGAAAACAACACTGTAGAGAATACAAGGATTTGTCTGCACACAGGGAGCAACACTGACCCACCCATGGGTGGAGCAGAGGGGAGAAGGGCAGTGAACAAGAGGAACTGGAAGAAGCAGTGCCATTACAGAAGTAACAGCTCCTTGAAACCAAGAGAAGGCGGTAACACAATGGATGGGCTTCTCTTGAGCAAGAGGTGCGCCACTGAGGTAAAGAACAGTGGCATTAGGTGTAGGGTAAAAGTAGAAAGCAGGAAGGAGAGGAGTGGTACAGGAATCAGGCAAAGCACTTGTGGCTCAGGACCAGTTGGGAATGGAGCTGCTGAAGACAGAAGAGGCTTTCTCATGAGGACTTACTTTTGGTGGGGAATTTGGGGAGGGTAGAAGGAAGACAATTTTATAAGTCATCTCAGTTTACTTTCCAGTTCCTTTGCAATCTTTTTTAATATTGCACACATTACTCATACCTTTCCCTCTGGATTGAACTTGGGCAACTTAGGGATTCCTGAATATTAGATTTTCAGTGGCTAAACAGCACACGCTTAGTAACTGCAGAAGTAGGTACAGCTTGCATGGAGACACGAGGCTGAGGGGGAGCAAAAGAGAAGGCAGCAGTACTGCCAGACAAGGGCTGGACTTTCACCTCCTGCTACTGCAGTCACACAGGGAGCAGGGGACAACACTGCAAGCTGCTGAAGGGGACCAAAGGGCAAAAATAAGTGTTGTCTTAAAAAATTATTAACAGTCTCACAAAGAGTGTTATTGTCTTCTACCTTTATGTGGATTCCGAAGGCAGCAAGGTCTTCACGAAGACTGTCACAAGCCTCCAGGAGGGGTTTTCTCTCACGCATTAACTGCTTCCTCTTCTCCTTCTGCTCTTGTTTGGGTTCACTGGCTCCTGGAGCCCCCTCCACTGGCACAGCGCCTGCTGCTTCGGGCAGAGCCAGCGCGTAGTGACGGACCCTTGTGCGGAACCTCACAAGCTCGTCAAGGACATTAGAGAGCACTGCAGAGTTGTCTCCTCCCACAGCCCCCTAGAAATCAAACAGGGTGCTTTACAAACATCTGAGAATGGTATTTAAAAAAATCAACCCCAGCTCAGCAGCACACATTTGAGGCCTCATCACCTCTCTTGGTTGTGCACCTTCCATATGTTGGAGACATTAAAATGTCACCATCTCACTAATGCTGGACAAAAAGTTACAGTGGAGTCACATTTGGAAGTAGTTCAGTGTATTCATACACAGGAAAGCATGTATGTTGGAGCAGAGTGCTCTGACATGAGCATAACACACTGCATAGCCTGAGTGTGGAACTTGTCACCACAGGAAACCTCCAAGATGCCGGAAGTGTGCATAAGTTAAAAAGGGGTTAGACAAATTAATGGAAGAAAGACCTGGCAACAGGAATCCAACTCAGCAAGGGATGTCCAGCCACCAGCTCAGACAGCTCCTAGGCTGTAAAAGTCCAAAGACCTCACGAATGCATCAAGCCCTTTACTCTGCCTTTGAGCTCCAGGCCTTCTTCAGGAAATACAAACCAGGAAAAGTAAGTATTTTCACTTTAAGTCTCTAGTCCAGCCTTTCTCCTTGCATCAACAGAAAAAATCTCCCCAAGTCCATAAAACTTTCACCTGATCCACCTTGCCCAAAGTCACAGCCAGTCAACCCAACAGAGCAGCAGCCATTCCACATGGTGAGTGGGCGTTTGCTGTAGCCAAGCCCCTCCTTCCCTCAGCCAGCTCCGAGCTTCCTTAGCCCCCTCTGGCTTGGTAGAAGTCTTGCTCCTCCTAGAGAGTCCTGGTCCAACAGCTGCCAGGACGGGAGCTTGGGAGTTAGCTGAAGAGGAAGGCCACTCCTCAGCACTGGCACAGCCAGGCTCCTGGTCTCACTCTTGGCAGAGAGACCATCTCTGTTTCTCATTAGAGGCAAACTCCTAAGGGGCAGGAAAAGGATGAACCTCCAATAAACAAGAGAAGGCCACAGCGGTATTTTATCAGTAAGACGTGAGAGGGGGAGCAGCCAACAGAGCAGTGAAACATAAAGCGCACCAAGGCCAGGGGTGAAGCTGCCGCCAGCAACGCTCATCTGGGAGCAGAAGAGCAGCTGAGTAATTAAAGCCAGAGGGGACTGTAGTCACTGAACAGCAGGATGGAAAGTAAAGGGAGCAGTTTCAGAGGTCACTGACAAACAGGAGGAGGAGGAGGAGGTGAGGGGAAAGCTATTGAAGATAAAGTATGAGATGCAGCAAATTCCCCAAGCTTTCAAAACATGTAACCATACTAAAGAAAAGGTTTATGAGACTGAAGAAGGCAATAAATCTAAGTGCCAGAAATGCTCCAGAGTAACCTGGGGTAGGTAAAAGAGCAGGATAAATGCTTAAATACAGAAGGGAGAGAAAAGACAAATGATGATGGGAGTAGCAAACATGCCTCTACAAACACGGAGTTCAAACAAGGCACCTACTCAAACACTGCTCCCTGTATCCTCCACACTAAGCTGTTGGCACAGCAGTGGCCAGGCCAGCCAGCCCTCTCCCAGACAGCCCACATGCCAGGACTCACAGATGCATGCCTGGGGCTACCTGGCTAAGGGGCAAAAAAGGTGGGATGCTGAGCTGTTGTGGCTGGTCTCAAGGTCAGAGAACAATGCCTGCACCATTTTATTTACTAACGTGGTAATCTTCTGATGAAGATTTTGATGGATTAATATACTGGAATCTAAAAGAACAGAGGGACAGAAAAGAGTCTGATGTGCTTGCTCCTTTCTTCCTTCCTCCCTCCTTTCCTCCCTCCCTTCCTCAGACCAGCATCTTCTGCTGATCCTGTTGCCACAGAGAAACTAGCACAGCTTACAACAAAGAGAAGCATTCAGATACTTGTTTCAGGAAAAACATAGGTGCAACAGACACCTGCATACAGACAGCCCAGAATCTGGAGGACTGACTTTACCACACAAATTAAAGAAAAATTAGTGTTTCGTATGCCACTAAAAATTAAGATGCAAACTACAGGCTATGAGGAATAACACATGGCCAAATCACATCCAGCTGCTGTTCTGAAAGACATTTTGTGAGAAAATCCATAAAGAACTGAAGTAAATAAATGCATTTATTGCTATACTGCTTGACTTTCAGAGGATGAATAATGTTATGTACATTTTCTTATCCTCTTGTCCCCCTCCCCAAAATAAATTTTTGCAGAACAGTTTCTCTAAAGAAAGTTCTCCACTTCTTGGTATTCAACTCTATATTTGAGCAGGAGAGGAGCACAGAACAGCCTGCTATTCTCCAACATCTTGTGTCATTTTAAATGCTCCCCTTCCATACATCAGGATATCACCTCCATATTTATGACTCTCTTTCCTGTGCAGTACTTTGCTTTGAGCTTTTTTCTTCTTTTTTTCTCTCCCCACTCTTATCTTTCCTTTTCTTTTAAGGCCCCCCTCTGCGCCTCAGTGCACTCCCCTCCCCACACCCCACCATGGCTCAAGGCAGAGCAGCCCCTTTCCCCCACCCCTGCTTTCTGCAGAGGAGCAGGACCCCAGCTCCTGCTCAGTGCAGGGGGGTCACAACTGCAAATATTTGCACTGCTACCGAATCCAGCCTGGGTGCCACCATCAGAAAGAAGAGGAAAAGCTGGGGGAAAGCCAGACACACAACAGGACCGACTTAAAAGGCCTGCAATGCCAACTTTTTCTCATTTCATTTCTCAGACTTTCATTTCCACAGCACCCTTGGTGCAGAAACCACACAAGAGTACCTCTGAGAAGAAAAAAGCCTACACTTTGTTCCACCTGCTCACACGCTCTCCTAAGACATCACAGAAGAAACTGGAAGCAGAAAGGTTTACTAAAACCATCAATTACTTTGTTACATCTGATGCTTTCGAAAAGCGTTCTATAAAACATAACACTGGGGATGCTACCATATACTAGAACACACAGAAGAGATGTTTCATACCTGTCTTTCTCCAAAGGACATCCCAAGGGCATTGAAAAAACCTTCTACATAGGAAATAATGCTTCCATACACAACAGAGCTTCTAGGAGATCCAGCATCCTGTTAAAAAACACTCAAAAGAGATTGCCCAGTCAATACATATTACAGAACCCAGCATCTCTCTGTAGCCTAGTCCACAAGGGAAAACTATTGCTAATTATATAGATCTACCTCCACCAGGAACACCTGCCCAGACGGGCAATCCTACAAAGATATAAAAGCACCTCACAGCACAAAGGGAAAAGATTTAAATAAATGAGGGAAGGGAAGAGCTTATCACCAACCTGCACAGCGAGGACAAGAGATGCTTGTGAAGCTGCTGTGCATTACATGTGTGCAGTGAATTAGACATAAAAATAGCACTTCTGGGCATGAAAGGGCTGTGTGTTTGGCAACAAAATAAAAAGAAAAAAAATCCCAGATTCACGGGCACCTATAGTATAAAGGATAAAAAAAATAAAATCATTCTTTGAGTGTCTTACTGATTTGATCAATGTGGAGACCTCTTAGAGATAGTGTATGGTACTTTGTCATGCCCTGGTAGCACCAGAAACCAGCAGCAGCAGCAATAAAATCAAGATTAAATGATAGACTGAGGAGCAATTTAAGGGACTAAGCCTTGCCTAAAAAATAAGAGTGATGACACACACAAGCAAATGAACAGCTGCTACTGGATTTTATCCGACATCTTCGTTAGGGCCTAACATAAACCATAACCTAAAATATGTGGAAGATCTGAACTGGGAGGAGCTGGAGCAGGCCACTGAGACAAAGAAACAGGAACATGCTAACTCAGCTAAGAATGACAAGAAGGTTAAAGAGAGGAATAAGTACTTATGTGGATTTACTCCCAGCTCTTAAGAAGAAAAATTACAGACAGTGCCAGTAACAGGGAACACTCGGACATCTGGGCTGTACCCAGAAAAGCTCCACCACCCCAACCAGAAATCAGAGGCAGCTGCCCCACAAATACCCTATCCCATTCTCAGCAAAAGAATTGGCAGGAGGAATTTGGGGGAGAACAAGAAACGACTGACTAAATGAGGTTACTTGTATTTAGGAGCGAATTTGCTTAGAGAGTTATTTTGTAAAAGTGCTTTTGTAAAAGGCTAAGGGCAGAATTTAAAGCCAATGCCGAAAGAGGACCAGCAGGAGGCAGGATTTCTCAATCAACAGGCCAATTCTCTCTTAAAATCAGTTATTACCATGTACTGAACGTTTCTTTTACAGCACAAACATGGTGAACAGATGACACCAGCAATCAAGGAGCGCAGCAACAAAACTGAGGTGCTTGCCTTGAGTGACAGAGGGAGCTGTTGGTAAATGGAGACCCACAAGGGCTTTAGATTGTGTTTATCACTCAGGTCTTGTCCTTTCCAGCTGCCTTGTTTGGGTCAGCATCAAGAGATCATAACAGGGTCTCAATTCTCCAAAAGTCATCTGAAGACAGACTCATGCAGTAATGCTGATGCCACAAGTTACAGACAGCAGAATCCACTCAGTCCCCAACCCTGAGCTCGTCCCCAGGACTGCCCCGTGCATATGGGGTTGTCTGCCAAAGCCCCTGCAGGAAGCCCCCACCCCCATTTCCCAATTTAGGTTAATTTCTGTGCATGGATATTAAGCGAAGAAGCAGAGTAAGAACACTAAAATTAGCAGCATGCCACAGTGGCTTCAGGCCTTTCAAAAGCCTTAGGTATAAATAATATAGGGCAGCAGGAAAGAAACATCCTCTGGACACAACGAAGCACAAAACAATATCCATGCACAATTCCTGTGATAGGGTCAGGACAAATAGGCTCCATTAAGGTCAACAATTTATGGAGCTTTGTTTCTGCTGGTTTCTTATGTGAACAATAAACTAATCTGTCTGCATTAAACAGTAGGACAGTGGACAGCTGTCATTTTCTGATCTCTGTATCCTAATGGGTTACCTTAGTAACAGCCTTAAGCTGTCTGTTGCCATGGTGAATGAGGTCCATAATTGCTGCAACAGCCCTGGAGGTGTCAAAGTCATCTGCAAACGCAGCCTTCACGGTTACTTTTGTGTTGGCTAGCCTTCAAGAAGAAAAGGTAACATTTAAGATAAGACAAACAAGATGCCAGCAGAACTCTGAATTCATCAGCTATTCAGCTAGAGGGAGTCATTGAAAGGACACTGTCACCTCCTTCCTAGCTGTCCTGTGATGGGCAATGCTACACTGATCAGGGAGAATACATCTTTCAGCTGTGAGGGAAAAAACTTGACACGTGTCGAAATCCGAAGTGTTACATCCATTCAATAAATACACATGGTTAATCACAAGAACCAACAACAACAGAGCAAAGTTTGCTGTAATCATTTTAAAACAGATGGAAAATGAGGTTGATATTAAGCACATCGAAAATCTTGCTAAGTTCTGGGTTTTTTTCCAGCAGCCCATTTATCATGCTAACAGCACGCTTCTCTTCCAAAGCCACGTCACAGGCATCACTCCAGTGCCTGGCAAGAGAGCTGTCTTGGGGGTGGCTAGGAATCCTGTTGGCAAGATCCAGCTCAGAATCAGGCACCTCTTCCTCATTTCCCAGGTGATTCCAATCCCAGCCCTGGGACTCCACTTGCCTTGGGCCAGATGGAAGAACCATTTGCATACACAGCCCCAAAAGCCAGCAGGCAACCAGCACTCATCCCTGCAGAACCAGTGCCACCTGCTGCAGCCACTCTCAGCAGGGGGATGAGGAGAGCAGCAGGAATAAATGGGGAGCTGCAAACAGCTGCTGGCAGCGAGTTCTCATACACAGCCAGGCGAACCAGAACTCGACAGCACTGACCCAAGGATGCTGTTTCCCAATAAAGCTCAAGGAGCAGGGTTAGCTGGGGAACCCCAAACTATCCTAGTGTCTGTCTAGGGCTCTCCTGAAACTTTTTTGGCTGTTTCTGAATGTTTCTGTGTAGAATGCTTGCCTCCCCTCAGATATCAGATGGCTGCTGTCCTAATTCATTCCTCTTTCCTGCAAGTTTCCCCCTCTCCACTGAGTATCCAACACTTTCCTAATTAAGAGCTTTGTTACATATTGGTTGTTTTTACACCTACAAATATACAAGTTGCGCCTTCCCACACATCCCCTACTGACAATCCATTTCAACTTCCTCGGGTTTCTCAGCTTTATCTCTCACCAACAGATCTCCTGCAGCCTCCTGCTGAAGGATTTGCTTTTGCCAAATACCACAGCAAGTTAATTCAACTTCACTTCCCTGCAACATGCTCCAATGCCCTTTCCAAGCCTTAGTCAGTGCAGCCACAAGCTTCCCCCCCAGTGAGGTGCTTGGCACACAAGGCAGCTGCCTCTCACTTCTACAGCACAGACCATTTCCCCTCTGATGCTGCATCCCAGAGCTGCCTGCACTTACCTTGTTTCAGGGCACTCAACAGCCCTCCCACCCTGACTCCAGAGCACTGTGTCCTCCTCTCAGCTTTGCACTCATCACAGAGCACATCTCAGTCCTGGAATATGATCTGGTTTCCATAAGGGACTCCAAAGAAGAGTCTCCTCACCCCTGTCAGGTTCACAATTCCTGTGACATCCCTGCCCCTGGACACTTCGTTAGTAACCCCTTCTCTCCTCTGCTGCACACCACAGTGCCAGCCAGCTCGATTTCGAGTTCATGTGCCCAAGGTGTGTTACTCTTCAGTCGTTCTCTTTCTCCTCCAGTTGCTAATGCACTGACCTCTCCTTATGAGCTGGGTACCCTCACAACTGCCATAGCTTTGCCTTCTACATCACCCAAGAGGGCAAAGATGCCTGTATTAGGACAGCCACACGAGATAAATAACGCAGATTTTAAAAACACAATGAACTAAGTGTAGTGGACTATAATGAAAGGCAGTTGGCTAGAAAGAGAAGAAAAAAAAGCTGCCCTTGGTGAAGGCTGGAAAGGAAGACTGATGCACAGTCCCTCTTGTCCTGCTTCTTAAACAGAAGTCAGAACACTGGTCAGCCCTCTGAGCCTGTCAGCAGAGTACTGCTCAAATAATCCCAACCTTTAAGATACAGGAGGTGCTCTTACCGTTCCCACAGTATGTCTTCTCTAATAGGGTCACACACCAGCTGTCCTTTTATATATGCATTTGCATCTGTAATAAATGAGGAGGTTGCCTGAAGAAGGTTCTTTGCATCATCCATGCTCTTGTCACTGAATTCCACTGCTAAGAAAAAAAGAAATAAGGCATTATGATGAAGATAATGTTGTCTGTCATACATAGGAACAGTATTTTGAGATGAAGGAAAATTTTGTTATTATTTGTATAGCAAACTTTTCTTACCATTAATTGCACATTCTTCATGGACACTAGGTGAATTAAATCAATATAAAACCAATCACCACATATGACAAAGTATTACCAATGGGAAAAGTATCAGACTGACTCTAGAAATTGAATTTGTTAGTTGACTGAAGCAACCACTGTTCGACTTTAAATTTTTTCCCCATTACTGAATCTCTCTGCAAAGTTATTAATCCAAAGCTTTAGGATTTAATATATTTCTAAGCATTTCCCTAGATTTAAAATGGAAGTACACACCTCTTAATTTTGTTCCTAATTTAGGTAGACATAGTCTGTATTTGGAGACCTCCAAAGAGGCGTAACCCTCACTACTGACTCTGTGAGGAATCCAGGCTTAACCTTTAAGAGTTAAAGGTCTGCTTCACCAACATCTAAAATCTAGATGGACCTTAAATTTTGTGGCCTACCTTCTTCACTAAATATACAATTCCTTCACAATATCAAAGCTCAACTGACCACACCAGTTTGCAAAAGCAACTACTAGAGAAAATACAAACTGCTGAAACCCATAAGGGCATGTCTGGGATGGGATCCATCACACCTCTTAAAGTCACTGGAAGGAAAGATAAAACCATAAAGTAAATGATTCACTGCATCCCAAGCAAAGCTCTGCTTTATGATGAGATCTGCTGCACCCTAACCCTACAGTGCTTCTCTTCCTCCAACCGGAAAAACAACATTAGCCACACCACTAACCAGGCATCCATGCACACCGACAACCCCTACACTGCATTCAGCTGAACTCCGCTTCAGCAGACAATTCCACTTTGGGAACAACCAGCATCCACTCCTGCTGGCTATGAGTTCAGCAGGCTCCTCTCTGCCTGCCTGCGCCCTCAGAAGTGCAGGTGCTAGACTGGCTCCCTCTCATTTCTACTGTGAGCTGCTATCAGCAGGAGGGTTTTCTTTAAATTTGTACAGTAATGTGCAGTTTTCTATAGAAGAGCTCTTGGACCCCACACAAGAGAGCTCCCATGACTGTGGTGGAAGCTGTGTCCACCTAGGACAAGACTAAATTTAAATTAATTCCTTTCCACAATATCACATCGGAGCCATATGTTGCCAGTGCCATATTGCTTCAACATTTTATACCAGACCTCTGCAATAAGTACGTCCAAACTACATCTTGCAGCATATTCCTAATCTCATCAGCACTGAGCATCATCCACAACAATCTCACCTCAGCTCACCCTACAGTCAACTGCTTTGTGCAATCACCCAACGCTGCCCAGACACCTTAGGGCAGACTGTCTTAGCAAGGGGACAGATTTAAGAGGGCAGAAGTAGCTGGATGTGAGACCTGATCTCAGTTCAGTTAGCCCAAATTCCAAGGAAGCTCAACTGTTAAAACCACTCTCCTTAGGATTTACCCCAGTATAACTAAGGCACAAGCCTGGACCTGAATTTGACAGATTTTTCACTTGTGTGTAATTAAAAATCTGCATTACTGCCTTATTAACCTATTACTGATTTTAAAATTAAGCTTTACTCAGTTTTTAAAAAGACAAATGTACAGGCTTCTAGAAAACAGTGAGATATTGAGAGAGATCATTTATATACTCTAGGATTACTCAAGTGATTACCCTGGTTACAGGAACTCTGCAAGGAATACCTGATGTGAGTTTATCCTGATGAAGCCTGCTTTCATTAAAGCCATTCTTCATCCCCAATTCAGGGCATTCTCCTAAACCACTGCCTGCAGACACTGCAAACCCACAGCTCAGCAGGGGAAAGCCCAGCTCTATAGACTTTCACCACAGTCCCTACTCCTTCCCTCCTTTGCCACTGAGGGCATCATCACTGCATCATCCAAGTAAAAAAAAAACCTATGTTTATTAGCATCAACAAGTAATTACAGACCAGAGGGGTCAAAACATTGCAGTTCACTCAGGTCCACAAAATCACCAGAGCTTTCTGGTGACCAGGAGAGCATTCTGGAGCTAGAACCCCACTGCCTGCAGCAGGTTCACAGCCCCTCCACATCAATGCATAGAGTGAAGCCACTGCTGATGAGATGCAGAAGGAAAAGCACTGCCTCACAAGGGGGTTCCACAGGGCTTCAGAGATGGCACCTCCCCTTTTAAGCTGTACCCAGAAGCACCTGGCAGGCACATTGGTGGAGTGTTTCACTTTGCTACTGCCTATGGTACCTAGGAACAACCTTTTCTTTCAGGTGTATTAAAGGGTGGTGATTCAGGCCTAGAAGGGAACAGCCAGAAGCATCAGCCAAAGCAAAAGGCCGAAATAATGACCAGTGCCCCCAGAGCTCAGCTTCGTGCTGAGCAGCTCTGCCCCACCAGCCTGAAAAAGGGTGAAGGAGCACGGGGACCCCCAGCAGAAACACACTGTGGAAGGGTGATGTCCTCCATCAAAGTCTCTTCTCTTTGTCTTTTCTCCTCTTCCCCAAAAGCCTACAAAAATCTTTTACATGTTCAATCCAACGAGTGTGGCAGCACCACCTGATCCCCCAAACCTGCATTTTACAAACCGCTTTCCTTAACAGGCAGGGGTGGCAGGAACCATTGCTGACAGGTTTAGGTTATAAAAACCTTCTAAGAAACAAACAGAAGGTGCTTGGGATCTCTCTTCTATAAAAACACTTAGGAGCAGACAGCAAGATGAGCAGGAGAGCAGTAAACTTATCTTTAGACCAAAGTGAATTAATAGCAGGGACACAAACTGACAGGCAGCACAGTAAATACAGCCTCAGCAGGGACTGACTCTGGCTCTTTACTGGGCAGTAATAACACACACCTCGTAAGGTGGAGGTGCAAGCGCATCAGACTTCCAAGTAACCCTCACTAGCCAACAGACTTACTGGCACTACGCTCTGATAAACCACCACAGTATCCTTTCATCAAAGCCGCCCCTATCTGCACAGGTAGCTCTCTTTTTTTACCACAGGAAGGTGTTTAACCTAGAGTTAATGCAAGAAAAAGGTCACCTCCTTCTCAAAGAGGTTCAAATGCAGCCAGCTGACGTGCAGTGGAGAAGGCCTGCAGGCAGCTCTCCCTACAGGGCTCCAGCGACATTCCTTGCCCTGAGGCAAGCTTAGGAATTAACAGACATTTAACTCTCCCTTGTTTACATGGCATACATATATCTGATAGTGTAGTAGATGTTATCCTTTTTCCTTCTTTTGTTTTAAATACACATTTGTTCAAGACTCCCAAGTGCCTCCAGCTACAGCCAGGGAACTATTTTTATGTGTCCATGGCATATTTCAACTCCTGACAACCCAGAGGAAACAGCCAGGGGTGCCACTGCCCTGCAGCATCATCCCAAAACAGCCAGGCACACCACCAACCCACTGCCTGCCCCCAAAGGGGATGTTGTTTTGCAGCAGACCTCCCAACTGGATGAACTCCTCCCCTCCTACCATGGTGGAAGTCGGAAGTTAATAACCACCTCTCACTTTACTATCCCATTCTTTGATATATTTCAGGGATCCAGGTCACTCCTCATGCCTATAGCTGTCCTAGGAGAGGGAGGCTCGACCAGGAATATCAGATGGGTGCCTCCTGCAAGCAGCTAGAGGTATTAACAAGCAAAAAAACTTCTCCGTCCAATGACTCCACATCTATAAAGGCTTGCAGCACACTGATGGACACTAGCAAAGCCCCAGAGCCTTATCCACACCCGTGCCCCATCATTCCCTTGCCATGCCAGGGGTGAGGACATTACTATCTGCTTTTGGCAGGCCCCAATAAACTGGTAAAACCACTATTCATGTGAAAACCTCTTCCAGTTCAAAGTATCATCTACCTGCTGGAAGCACCATAGAGTAGATAAGGAAGCTGACAAAATCTCCCACACTTCTCCCCACCAGCAGGGTCTGCCAGGTTAAGCTGATCATTAGGTTGCCAAGTGCTGGTGTAAGCGAGCTGCACTGCACCACAGAACTGCCTGAATACTCAGTAACTCCACAGGACAAAAAATGAGAACACAGCAGGGAAATAAAAAGTTATTAGCGAGCCCTCATCATACCCTACGGGAATGTAAGGCAAAGCTCCACCTAGGTATGTCTCCAAAACCAGCTGATCGTGACTGAAATACAAGTAACTGCAGCAGATGCAAATCAGAGACTGAGGTAATTCATTAGCTGAAAGTGCAATTAACTGAGAGTCACAATTAAGTGCAGCTCAGGAAGGTATTTAGATGAATGGTTACGCACTGTGCTCAGGAAAGATGCTTTTCTAAATGCGAGCCAAAGAGCAGCCCCACAGAGCACCACCAAAACCTTTCCACCCACTGAAAGGGAACTGCAAGGCCCCGCAGGGAGAGCTTGCTCCACCTCCGCATCACCAGCTTGGAAAGCCTGTGTGGAAGGCCAGGAACAACACCACCTCAACAAAGATGGGCTTTGTCCTTACCTGAGCTGTATCTGCCGCGCAAACAAAACATCCTGAACTGATCTGACGAAAATTTCTTCAGGAAATCCTAAACTCCATGCACAAAAAGACAGCATTAGCATTATTCAATTTCTTCAGGAGCCGTTCCACCCCCTTACTTTAGTTTCACAGCATATTTCAGACAAACTAACACGAACAGTAACATAACTTTGCAGTTTAAGATAGGCAAAAATTTTTAAATTCTAACACTGGTTTAAAGCCTAAACTAAATAAAATCTACTTACATTTAAGATAAATATGCATACATATATACACGATATAAATATATACACAATGTCCAAGGTAAGACAGTGAAAGCCACTTTGTTATTACGATCAAACAGACACTGTATAAAGACCTTTGCAAAAAAAACCCAAAGTGAAATTATCAGACTAAAACTGGAATACAGTCTTACAGTTAAGGAAACCTCCTGAGCTCTGCAAACTTTATGAAAAAAAAGATTTTGTGAAAAAGAAAATAAGTGTACTTCTTTGCAGGACTAGAATATGAAGGAAAACATGGAGTAAGCAAAGATAAATCTTAGCAATATATACAAAAAAAAATGTATTAATTTTGAAGCCTAATTAATTTCACTCTAATATTTATCTAGCGTCACAAATAATTTACTCCAGTAACAGGAAAATATTATTATTATTACTACTGGTATAATTAACTTACATTAATAGTATAAAGAACTATTTAAATGTTTGGAAGGTACACTGACAAAACATTCCATCACTTCCAACCCTGCAAGGCTGGACACTGTGGCAGATTGACTGTGAATGCTGCATTCCCACTTCTTTTTTTTTTTTTTTTTTTCTAATTTGCAAACTGGTGGTGATCACTGAAGTGCCATGAAAATCAAAAATCGTAAGAAGCCAGTACAAGCGAGAAAATATGTAAAGTGTCATTTGCTTAAATTTCATATTTTGAAATAAGGCTTCTGCTACCAGACTAAACCAGCCTGAACACTAAAGGTAGCACAGCATCAGCAATGTGATGCATCTCAAGCACAAATAAAAAAAATGGAGGCAGTCAAAATCAAGGAACAGAGATTCTGATGGTTTTGGTGGGTGTTTGTTTGTTGTGAGTTTTTTAAAATAAACTCTATATAAATGAGTGTATCCAATGTGCCCAGAAGCTTTACACTAATATACAGAGGTAGAACATGAGTAAAGTATGGACATAAATTCAAATTTGGGAAAGGACCATCCAAACTGGAAAAAACAATTCTGCATTTCATTAAAAACAGAGAAAGTATCACAGCTCTTTGAAAGCAGGTTGCTTAGCCCTGTGTTATCACAATCTGTTTGATTTTGGGGGTCAGAATTAATAGTTACCAAAAAAAAGGGAAAGAAAAAATTGGAGTAGGGTACAAGGAGGTGAGGGAAAACAGGGCAGCTGGATCTAAGTGATGTAGGGCTGCTCTGCCCAGTTGACAGCCAGGGATGCAGGTGGGCCAAAGGTCTGTCCTGGACAGACATCCTCTCTTTTGGCACGGGCATAAAAACTTCCTGTAGGGCTTAACTTTCAAAGCGCAAGGCAGTTATAGAGGAAAAAAAAAAAAATGTTTCGCTGGACTGAAAATCATTTACTGGGAAGGATTAATACCTGTCAGACATGGGTAAGGGCAGACGTGAAAAGCAGAGACCCACAAGGAAAGAGAGACGGGTCCGAAGTCTTTGTTATCTCAACACAAGTCCCACCATGGGGGACATGGAAGGGAACATTTTTGTACGTGGATTTTAACTTCAGACACTGCATTTGCAGTCATTTCTCCACTCTGTCCACAACATCTGCTGAGACTCATGAGATTTCTGTGAAAATTGTGAGCTGTGGGGAAACAGGGTTTAACTGTACCCAGACAGCATCAGAAGACTTAAAAATAAAGCAGCTCATATTGAACTTCTTTTAAAGAGATTTTAATTAAGTATTCCAAGAGGGCAAAGGGGAACATATGTGCTGAAGCAGCTTCCTAAGCTTTGTCTACAGGAAGGAAATTACCCTGTTCTAGCAATAGGCATCAGCCATCACGGGAGCCACAGCAGCGCCAAGCACAGCTGTATCACACACACCTGGCAAAGAATCCCTGCTCTGGGCTGCACCAGAATTTGGGACACAGTAAAACAGTGGCTTGTGGGTATGAGAGGACAAAGCTTGTGATATAAAAATAAAGGCTAATACAAGAGACCGCTGGCATAGTGTGGCCTAAGAGCTTCCTGACAAAACACTGACATTATGCCTCACTTCACCTAAAGCAGGACGAGGGAAAACGTCTGCTCTTTTCTAAGTCCCAAAAGCACAAGCACTAATAAAAGCAGACAGGTGAGAACCCATCACTACAGAACAGAATCATTCAGGTTGGAAAAGACCCTAGTAACCATCGAATCCAACCGCAAACCTATAATTGCAGGACTCTGGTACTGGGCACAAATGCTCACAGCTCAGCGAGATCCATCGTTCCAAGCAAACCCTGAGTGCCAGGAGGTATCCTACATCCAGATCCACAATAACAGACAGATCAGTGCTGGAGAAACACTTTCAGGTCTTTTACTGCAGCATAAGCACACACTCCAAAGTTTTCTCAAAAGAGGGCTGTGATGAATATTTACATATTACAAACATACTTTGCTTCAATTAATAGGAAGAGATTACCTTAATTGTTATGTAGTTTTTCAATGACTTCGACATTTTTTCTTGACTTCCTTTAACATGCAAATGCCCTAAAACAAAACAACAACAAAAAAAGAGATTAATCAGGACAAGTAAGCGTGCTTCTGAATGGGAAGCGAATGAGAAAGACTGCACCGAGACCCTGGAAACGCTGGAGGCAGCATACGCTGTGAGGAAACACGCCAGCCATTTCAATGCAGTGTGTCACACTTTTCAACAGCTTTGTCTACAGTCCTGCACACCTCTCCATCCTCAACTTCCACCGGGTCAATTTTAAAACAGAAATTTAAAACATTAAAAAAACTCGCCACCACCATGAGTCTCCCTGCTCAGAATTGATAGCAAACTGATAAAACCAAGCAAACAAAGACATTCAATCCTCACAGAACAAGTACCTTACCTGTTACTCTTGACTCCTCAGACATATTGTTAAGACCTTTAGAGATTTTGCTGTGATTTCATATTAAAAAAAATCCCTGAAACTCAAACAATTTTCTGTACTTATAACTTGCTGGTGGCTGTTAACATTATTTTTTTTAATCCATAGTTTTATAGGGCAAAGTTTTATAGTTCAAAATATCTTACATGCAAAATTAATTATCTGCGTGTCCTCTACTTCTCTAGTCTTGGGAGACTGAGAAAAAGCAGTAGGAGGGAGGGATGCAGCTAAAATGCCTAATTTGACTTTAAATGCCTAATTGAGTTTATTTTAAAATGTGATCTCTGAGTATCCTACAACTTCAAATAGTCACATGGACTATGGCAATAGTACCGGAAAAAGGTAGTAACACTGCATTTAAGAGAGTATGTAGAGCTTGGCTCTCAGGCTGAAGGTTCTATCCGAGCAAGAGAGGAGAAGTATAGCCTGAGGTTGCCCATTTCCAGGTCTCATCCATGCTTGCCGGCACCACCGCTGATGGAAAGCACGAATTATTCACAGCACCGGAGAGATGCTGAACATGCTGCCACTGAAAGACTACTCAGAAATGTTGTTAAAAGCCTTAATTGGTCTCTCCTAATAATAGAGTAATTCTGTAAGCTACCAAGCACCCACAACTAGCACGCAGTTTTTAGGCACTTCCATGATCTGCAGAATCCAGCACTTAGTCATACATAGAGGGAGCTTTTTAAGCATGAACTTTCCTTGCTCTGTAATACCCCACCAGCACTCTACATCCTTTCAGATTTGGCAGCCCAGCGTTACCAATGCCTGAGTGCTCTGCAAGGACAACGTATAATCATGCTCCTGCTTTTACAGGTGGTGGCAGAAGTGGCGTTTCTTGCTCAGCAGCCCATGCAGCTGTCTGAATTTTGTGCTACTCTCCACACAGAGATGCTTTTGCAGCCTTGTTTGGAATGCCCTCACTTCCAAAAGTGGATAAAAACCTCATTACACTCTTCTGAATACAAAAGCAACACACTCAGGCCTGGTAAACCGACGTGAAAAGCACCTGGTTTCACTTCTTAGCCATTTCTAACAATGATTCAAAGCAGCAGGGACTCACCATAAAACAGCTACCTCCAGTCCTACCCTGACTACCTGGAATTTTAAGCTTGCACAACACACTAGGGAAAGTAGAAAAGAATCGAAAGACCTAAGAGTGTGGAACCAGCTACAGCAGAAATCCATGACTTCCATGGATCCGTGAATCCAACCCAAAATCTTGCTTTCCCTGTATTTGTCCTGCCTGCCACCTGGTGAGACCACTTTCACCACTGCATCGTTAAACTTGGGACGCTCAATAAGAACACATTAGACATCTGCAGCTCTTGCAACTCAAGTAAAACCCACAGCCAAAATTCTCCTGGAAGAATGGGAAGAGCCTAGGTATGATTACTTTTTTCCTTTTGCACAGGTGCCTAAAATATTGACTTACTTAACTTAGGGCAACCAAGCTTAAAATAGCTTGTGCTTTCCTAAAAAGGTACAGGTAACATCGGAATTTGAATTAATATTCCACTTCCAAGAGTTTCAGTACCTAGAATGACTTCATTCAGGAATCACAAAATACAAGGATTTTCATAACTTCAGTTTGGCAGTCTTCCCAGAGTACAAGTAGTCTAAAAATAAAGTCCTTATAAGAAGATTTATCCACAGTGCAGGGATTTTCTTCCTCTAATGGGGATTGCTCCTCCAATTCTGAGCCTGCAAAATTCTGAAGTCTTTTAGCAGAATAAATTGTTTCTGAAGCTGGTTCATCTGCCCTAAATAATTCACGCCATCATCCTCCAGCAAAATTTTTTGATTTAATGAATGTAATCTGTCAGCTCCTAGAGAACTTCAGTGTACAAACAAAAATTAAGTTCTCCCTCTTTTTTTTTTTTAATTGACTTCTCTCTATTTAGCTAGTAGCAAAGAGTTTTCCCCTATAGTTTCAATTCCAAGCTTGAAAAGTCAGATTCATTGTTTTTCAACAGAAGGCTCCCCTTGGCAGCAACCAATGCATCTCAGTGGAAGTGCAGAGGATTCCACGTGCCTGAAGAACAAAGCACACCCTGAAGGGATGCATCAGCCTCTGGACAATTGCTATTGATTTACAACACGTTCTACACTGGGAACTGAAACTAGAATTCAATATTCATCCCATACAGTACAAATATATAAAAATGAAAGCTCATGTAAATCCCACAGTGTGCCACAGGCTTAACTCTGCAGCTCTTCTACTCAGTGAAGCAGCTCCAAGAGCTCACAGAGACATCTTGCCCAAAGTACTGTTCAGCAAAAAGAGAGACTGCACACTTAAACCTGACCTTCTATTGACTTCAGCTGTCCATCCAGAACCACCATGACTGCAATAGAAAGAACAAATTTCCAGGTTTCCATCAATGGGGACAGCACTAGTACCATCAGAACACAGTGTAGTTCAAAGTACTCTACAGCACAAACTTCACTGAATGAAGCACTGTTGTGCAAAGGTAGCAAGAAGCAATTCTACACAATGCCAGGTGGTAAGACATGCTGAACACCAAAAGACAGTTTTGTACATTTTAGTCAGGCAAAGCCAGCAAGGTCACCTTGGGGGAAAAGACAAGGTCAGTGACATCTGAGGGCTACACCAATACCAAGTCACCCACACTCCACAGAAAAGCAGAGAGACACTGCAGTAGGTCAGGGCACTACAGAGGGACAAGGGATCACAGTGATGGGATTCCATGTCTCCACTTTTCTACAGAGCCCAGGAGTGAGCAGCTTGGTCTTTATGCAGCCCACAGGTGTCACAGACCTCCCTGTCTCCACCCATCAGCAGCCTCACTGACCACTCATGACCAGCACAGACCAAAGCATCACTTGGTCCTCAGCATGAATCTTGTTTCTAATATCCATCCCTAGGTGTAATGCTACCGGTGGATAAAAGAAAGGTTTCCAGGAGAATGTAAATAGTTACAGGTACATGAATTGCACACCCAGAACAGTGGTTGGTTGCTGCAGCAGAACATCTGCCTGCAAGGCTTCACCCACATTTCAGACCATACAAAACATCCCAGCTCAGACACTTCTCTGCAGGATCACAACTTCGTGAGCTTTGTTTCTTCATCAGTTGATGTATCTTAGCATTCTCTCCATTCTTGTTTTCCAGTAGTACAGATATTTTCTCTTAACATCATTAAAAGTTTTTCACCGTATTTACAAACTCATTTATTTTATTCTGCATGCTACTAAAAACTTACTTTTAAGCCCACAATCAGCTGAGAGATGTGAGAACAAGACTAGTTTAATCTTTTCTCAGTGCTTTTAAAATGTTACATTGGGCTACCTGCTCACCTGCCACCTCCACTCCCTGCCTTCAGATACTGCAGGTTCTGGTTCTAAGACAGCAGGAATTTTTGGTTTTAGGAAGACTACATAAATACATATAGAAAATATAAACTATTTTCACCCTCCTCCTGCAGAACTGTTACAAAACAGTTCTGCAGGACTGTTAGAGCCAAAATACAATTAAGAAAGAAAGCCTATCAAAGAATACTCTCAAATTTTGAAGAAACTCAAATGAAATGGAATGAAACTCTACAGGAAAAAGCTCTTTTAGTTAGGAATAAACACTGTACATGGGTATTGCATCTACTGTTACTTTTTAGAGACTTTGCCAGATGAAAATCAGGTATATTTCACCATAACTCTTTTATTAAGTTTCAAGTTTCACTGACATTTATGTTTCTTTACTTAGTCAGGTCACTGTAGTAGAGCGTCTGTTTTCATACCATAAAACACCAAACCTAAAAAACCAAACCATTATATTTGCACAGGCCTTTCAGGTGATTAATATTTTACTTACCAGAATGTAAAAAGTAATTCCCCCATTGCTCACACTGATGATACACCTCACACTGTGCTATTTCATTTTCGTGGTGAGGAAATGCAAGATCTATTCCACCAGTATGGATGTCCAGCTGCTTTCCAAACACTGCACTGTAACAATATTGTCCTGATCGGTAAGTAGAACACTACAAAAGCTTTTTGTAAAAAGAAATGCAGAAAAGAACACGATGAAACAACATAAATAAATTTTAAGTGTACAGTTTAATAGGTGCAGTTTTAAAACAAGACTTTATGCATATCTCGGATACCAAAACTGCAGCCGAACTTGTATGGACAGGACCCATATCCGGCCACAATTACTCCTCCTTAGCAGAAGCAATTATTATTCTATCTTAGTTTAAAGGATGGAAAGCAGGATGTCCCCCTTCCTTGTTCTGCTACAGTTTCAGCATCAGACAGCTGTCTTCACATGCAAACCTAACAGCTTTGAAGCAGTGAACATTTCTGTAAATTTGGTATTACTATTCCTTATCTTGTACCTTTTCTGTAAGAATTCAGACAATATTGTGTGCAGTCACAATGAAAATGCTCAGGCCTATATTGTTCTAATGTCAAAACAAAGTGTCAGTGCCTCTCATCTTCCAGGGCCATTTCTCATATCCCAGCAGTGCTGCTGGACCTGTGTGGGGCACCCATGGGCTTGCCATGGCACAGGCCTCTCTGCAAACACTGGTGGCTGGCAGTAAGGTATTCGTGTGTCTAAAACAGGATAGCCTTAGACACTTGCAGGTTAAACACCAGGAGTGTCAAGGCTGCTACACTCTGTCCACTGCTCCAGGCAGTCCCTGCCAGGTCATGCTGGGCAAGTTAGCAACTTTATTTTGCCCATCTGTTGAACAAAGACAACACTCACCTACTCACAGGGATGTAAATCAACCCTAACTGCCAGAAACCAGAGGTGCTCAAGAAGGGAAAAATGCACAGCCTACACAAATAGAAAATAAAGGATAGTGTCCCCTCCAGTGCACACACACCCACACACAGCCTTCACCTTAACAAGTTGCTCCTGGTGGCTGGCTAAACATTAGTAGTTTTGTCCCTTTTTGAGACAAAACACTCTGCTAACACCGTGGCTCATAATAGCTCTGCAGAAGCTGTAGGGGCACAGGAGGAAAAGAGAAGAGGGGAAGGCAGGAAGGCAGGCAGGCAGGTGGGAAGATGGGCTGACACCATCTCCCAGGCTTATCCCCTTCTGCTTGCTGCCTACTTCAAAACTGGCTAACACACAAATCTTTCTAGAACTGGCTCTCGCCTTCCCTTGTGCCATTTACAGAGATGGCACATCTACAGGAAACAGCCACTTGCTGTTTCCTCCAACGAAACCATGAGGAGCTGGAGAGAGGGAGAGATGGATCTGCCAAATGCTCAGGGGCAGGAGGAACAGCCCGCCTCACAAGGGAAACTGCAGAGAAGAGATCAGACCTGAGGGGGTCACAGCGGCTGGTTCCCTCCTCCAGGGCTGCACTATAGCCCAGAGATCTCCTCATTCACCTTCACAGACTTTTCAAAATTAATTCCCCTAGCTTAGTTAAAGTGCTTTGAGATATCTGGCAAAACACACGGTTAAGTAAGTATTGCTTAAAATGGTCCTTAGACAGCTGACTGGGACAGCAAAATATTTTCAGTGCCTTAGCAAAATAAGCTCTCCATTTCTCACAGTCCAAGATTACTACATTTATGCTCTGCATGGGTCAGCTTTTATTTACATGGCAGGAGCCTCATACAGCTGCAGTAAAATATATTTTTACAGAAAGAAATGCAGACTACAAACAGCACTGCATTAGTGGACAGGCCATTTTGTAATTGGTATTTCTTATCTGTGCACTTCTGTCACAGGTTGTACTTCAAACACAAGATGATTTTGGGCACTTCAGTTGCTTTAAGAACTGCTTCTCTATACTGAAACTATTTCAGTAGTAGAAAATCGCCCTTATAAATGCTTTTTGTAAGCAGGTAGTAATGACTGACAATTCCAGGTGCTCCAGCAAAGCATATGAAAGAGGAACCTAAAGCAGCTGGTTCCATGTCCTTTCAGCCTTGGTCAAAAACTTAAAACTACGCAGGGTCAGAATTAAGAAATTTGTTATTAGCTTTCAAAAAAAAATCTGAGACTAAGGAAAAACTAAGTACCGCTATCAATCTTCCAAGAGAGAAGATTTTTTTCTCCTGTGGCAAAAATAAAACTCTAAATTAAGAGCTAATTACATTAAATCAGCTACAAGCAAAACACTACTAAGTACAATTTACATAGTGCCAACAGAATATACTGTCACAGAGTATTTAACATTGTGGCTGACTTTTAAAGGAAGATGAAAACCACTTAAGATTATTAGCACGAACATCCACAACTGCTGTTAAGATAAGGCCAGCAGGATATGGAACTAGGATGGAATCCCATGCCCTGTCCTCCCGACACAGCACTACATGCTGAACTAGGTCTGATGGAGACTGCTAGAAGGGGGAGGAAAGCAAATCAAAGGGGTACCACAACTTTCACAAAATCTTTGGTTATTCAGTCCAAGTTAAAAGACTTGCTAATCAACTGTGTGATCCTGCACTAAGTTTGACTCAAGAGAAAGTGCCAAAACTTATCAAGACAGCTGTGATAAGGTTGAAGTGCAGTTTATTTGTGCCACATGTGACATCCCAAACTGCATTAAATGGTCACATTAAAACCAGTGCTATTTAGTGAACAGAAAACCCTTTCAATACTGCTGCTACCATTGTACTGTGACTGAAAACAAAAAACAGCACTTGATTTAAAATCCAAGAAATCTGACCTCGATATTGTGGAACACTCAATGTGCCATCCAGGTCTTCCTTTTCCCCAGGGAGAATCCCAAGATAGCTCCTGAGGCTTGGCAGCCTTCCACAGGGCAAAATCTTTACCGTGTCGTTTATCAGATTCAACTGCCAAAAAGAAGTGATTTGTTAATGGGATATGTCTCAAAGAAAAAAATGACCAAATGAAAGCAAGAGGAAATGTGTGTTTAGTGAACTACTCAGATTTTAATCCCCTTCAATCAACCTCTTTCTTTTCACTGCAACTTCCCTCCCTTCCAGTTGACCAATGAAGCATTGGAAAAAAAAAGAATATTGAAATAGGTTTTTACAAGCTAAAAAGATGGCTCAAGATTCCTTAGTACATCCTATCCTTTCAGTCCTTTTGGCCTTCCCTGGTTACTTGTATCATTCATTTAGTTACTTATTAGCCAGCCTCCCCACCACAAACTGCACCGCAACAGAAAAGGTAACAAAACCAAACCAAAACACACAAATTAACAAAAAAAAAAATCACTTTTTTTTTTTTTTTTCTGGGACACAAGTACTTTTTGCTTCAGATTCCGTAAAACCAAGTGCACAGAGATAAGAATCAAAACTATTCTTGGACAGTAGCAACTTTTCACTACCCTTTTCACCAATGAGTTCTCTACAAAGGCCTCCTCCCCAGCTATACTTGTTGCTTCCCTCACTACACAGCCAAGGAAAGGATGCAGTTGTTTTTGCCAGAGTACTGCAGGATTGTTCACCTCTGCTGGCTCCTAACCCCCTGTTGATTACACACCACTCCCTGGCAGGAGCTAAAGAACTGCATCTTTCTGGACTCCGCATTTTTTTTCTAACATGACCTCACATATGGAATCACAGAATTCAAAATTCATAAGAACTACAGGGACGGAAATATAACCCTAGTTTTATCAACTGAATCTTTATCTTGGCTCTTCCACTAGTTTGCCAAGCTCTGGCTGATCACTATGTGTTGACTCTATCCCTCCTTTGCCTTTTTTTGAGTGCACTGCTACAAAAGAGCACTTTTCAACTTCTCAGTTGTAAGCAAAACAACTGTCAAAATCTTTAGAATATCAGTACATTTAGTTGTGACTTTAGAGTAAAACACGTAATCAGTCACAGTTGAGGCTGGAAGGCACATCTGGAGACAGACTAATCCAAACCCATGCTCAGGGCAGGATCAGCTACAGCAGGCTCACCAAGATGGTGTCCAGTTGGGTTTTGGTTATCACCAAGAATGGAGACTCCACAGCCTCTCTGAGCAGCATGGTTTATATAACCATCCTCAGAGTAACAAGGACTTTTCTTAGTTTTAAATGGAATTTCCCGTGTTTCAGGTTGTGCCTACTACCTCGTGTCCCGTCATCAAGCTCCACTGAGAAAAGCCTGGCTCCATCTGCTTTACTCCCTCCATCAGGTATATGTACACATGGGTAAGATTCACCCAAGCATTCTCTTCTCCAGGTTGAGCAGTCCAAGCTCTCTCTGCTTTTTCTCTTATGGAAGATACTCCAGTACTCCTATCTTATTTGTGGTCCTTTGCTGGCCTTTCTCCAATACGCCCGCATCACTCTGGTACTGGGGAGCCCAGCAACAGAACCGCACCCCAGGCATGTCCCAGAGCGCTGAGCAGAGAAGGATCACCTCCACTGACCTGCTGGCAATGCTCTTCCCTGTGCAGCCCAGGAGGCTGCTGGCTGCCTCTGCAGGCAGTAATTGCCTCTAAATAACTGTTGACAAAATGCATTCCCTCTGTGAGCTGTAATGCTGAAACAACTCCAGAGCAGAACAGTGAGACGTTCTGGCTGCAATTCACCTGAGCATCAGCCTGCCAGGAATTTTCAGTAATTGCAGAGTTTTTTTCAATGACGAAATATTGAACTTCAGTGTACAAAAGGATGCAGGAGGCCTGCATCAACATTTCCAACGCAGAGACCTGATGAGACCCAACTTACAGAAACCACAAGGAGGCTCAGCAACCCTGCGGAGCAGGACCTGCAGCAAAAACCTCACAGCCCAGGGTAAAGGCCTGCTCTAGCACAGCCTATCAAGAGATTGCTCCCCCTCACACAAAGGGGCTGCTTAGCAGTAGTCCAGTGACAAGTAAAGAAGGAAGCAATTCATCCAGTTATCCTTCATCAGAGGAGTGCAACTGCCTGTGCAACTGCCTCAACAACAACATGGTAGATGAGGTTTCCCCGTGTTTACCCTTGACTGGCTACTGCACCAGCAAGAACACCTCACTGTGAAATTTCTATGTATCACTGCCAAGTATTTCATTAAAATTGATTAAAAATACTAATTGTTCTAAGGTGCCAGAACATGGGTATAGAGGGAACCATGGATGAAAAGAGACCAAGTTTCCTCTGGCACTGGCAACAGTGAGTGCCTCAAAAAATAATAACAAAAGCAGTGCAGTCCTAATTAACCAGAAAGTTAGCTATACACAACAGGATAGAAAAATGTTTCAGCCTGTTGAATGAAAATTTACTCACAGACACACAAACAAGTTCAAACAATGCATTAACACAAACAAATTGGTGCCATGAACTTACCTGCTTCATCTTGGGTATCAGGATTAATAGCAGTTAATACTCCATATCTTTTTCCCCAGGAGTTAACATCAAAATAAACATTGCCTAATAGAAAAGAAGTGTTTAATTGTATAGCAAAGATGGGGCACATTGATGAGAAGAAGATAACATTTCCCTGAAATCAAAACAAAACGCCCTTCAACTCCCATTTTAAATTCTGATTTAGAAATTCAGAAATACTGCAAAAGTAGCAGCAGATGTTTCCATGTTACCCAGCTTTTCAGTAATCTCTGTGCACACGCTCATTGTACACATAGAACAACTTCCAGTTCTGGAGATCTCCCCAGGTTCTTCCCTGCCCGTGCACAACTAGTAATCCCCTCCCTGCCTGCAGCACAAGCTACTGCTACTCCTGCTACAATGCACTCGAATCCTTCTCCAACCACCAGCTCGGCTAAAGAAAAATCCACTCACTGTGCTTTACAAACACATCTTTCACTGCACATCGGAGATACACAGCTCTTGTTTAGAGCTAAGAGGTTTCCCCAGCTCACTTGTAGAAACCAGGCCAGGACTTCCCCACAGGAGCCCAGACAGCAGTTTGTTATTGTAAACAATTCTATTAAGTAATGAGCTACATTTAACTCAGAAATTGAATAACAGTTGTTCTGCCCACTCATGTCATCACAAACAAGTTGCTCACACCCTGCCTGTTAATCAAAGAAGGAAGGCCTGGCACAGGTTACCTCATCTGATTCCAAAACAGGACTACTAAAAGCAATGACTTCCTGTACATGTGCTGAACAAGGAGTTACCTTTCTCGAAGTCTTACCTTGTGAGGTTGTGTAAGCTTGTCCATTAGCAATTATTGTTTTTATAAAGGAAATTATCTGAGGAATATTGTCAGTCACCCTCATATATACTGTAGGAGGGAGGACCTTAAAGAAAGAGTAACATGTCATTAATCTGAATGAAACACAATGCTCATGAGTCCCTTTACTCTAAGAAACAAACTTCAAAGAACATTCTCCTCAATTTTATCTTAAAAAAAAAAAAAAGCTGCAAGTAGCATAAAAAGATCATAAGCAGCATTTAAAACAATACACATAAACAGAAAAAAATACTTGAGGGATGAAAAAAAAAAACCCAGTTTTTCCCAGTGCCTTACTCCATGTCTCTGGAAAGCATTTTGGAAAAGAAGCAAAGTCACCTGGTCAGTGAAAGATTAGTTATTTCCTATGCTTTCCATCAGGCTATTCCAGCATTATAGTAAATTTGTAATATTTGTGAACCAAGGCTCTACTGTATGTGGGAAAAAAATTGTTCTTAAAGAAATTTAACTTGTTCATTCCAAAACTCAGGATTGCTCCTCCTCCATTTCGTTATAGGAAATGGGTATACAGTATCTTTCCAGAAAAAAGAAAAAGTAAATCAGTAATCAGTTTCCAAAGCAACAAATTTATTTTTTCAGGTCAAACTATCAACATCAGATTCCTTACCAAAATAATTGCTTAGAAATACTCTTAATTTTGTATTCTTGAGCATTTGTACCTTTAAGGCAGCCATATCTTGTTTAAAGTCTTCTTCATAAAAACGAGCAAGAGCTACTGGCGATACATTCATCTGAAAAAGAGAGTAGTAGATTAGTAAGTCATAAATCAGAGTAATAATATAAAATATGGCAATCTTTTATCAGTAACTAATTGGAAGACTTAGAGAGCCCCCAGGGTAGAGCCAGAAAGGCTTATTAATCTAACATTCACAGGGAGGAGATGTAAGTTATAAATAACTTAAAAGTAGTATTTCATTTACGCTTCTCAATTTCCAAAATATTAACACATATCTTTTAAGAGAAAAGCAAGCAAAGACTAAAATAACAAACTCCTTCCCTCTCTCATTTTTTTCCTCTTGAGAGGGTCTTCCATTTCCAGTGACAAAATATACTACAGTACATAGGACATGGAAATCATTCAACTTACTGGCAGGAAACACTGATACCACCTATATGTCAGAAAGATAGATCAGAGACTTGCAGAATGAGACAAGATATTAATTTTCAGTGATTAAGAAAAACAAGCTATTTCAGCAGATCGTGGGTACTCATAGATCTCAATACTGAAAGTCAATCCCACGCTTTGCCAAGTCCAATGTTTCTCAAGCACCTTCTCTGCATTTCTCATTCATGGGACAGAAACAGGATCCTCTTGCAGAGGTAGTGAGAAAGTGCAACCCAAAAGGAAAGGAAACTTGTATATGATAAGGTACTTGTTCTCAAATATTCAGAACAGACCAAGGAATGAAAGATGCATGACAGCAAAGCCTGCCCTAGCAAGTAAAGCATGGTATCAAAGTGCTTCAAATGCACGCTTTTACATCTCTGAGAATAAACTGCTGGGGAGAAGACTGTCAGCCTCTACAGCTGAACTGGATCATTAACAACATAAATGCCATTTCATCACTTCCAATTCATTACTGGAGCATCCTTATGGGTTCTGATTTTAAGAGCACAGGTGGCTACCACCATTTGAACAAGCTCCTGGATAAGGCAGGAGTTCTGGTGAAGACAGTCCAGATGTTTATCCAGCAATGAAATGAGGAAGATGCTTGGCACTGGAAAACAAAGACACACTTACAGACCAGCACACCTGTGCTCTTCCAGACCCCAGTGACTGGATTCATCTCCCTAGACAGCTCAACTGCTTCTCTGATCAACAGAGAAAAAAAGGTGCCTATAGAAAGAAGCGGGGAAATTCCTCCCATCCACACGGATGTTCAACACACAGAGAGTCATCTCTCTCTCTCAAAGGACCACTGAGTGCACGCAGCATGCTCATCATAGACTATATATCCAACTTTCACATTTCCTCCAGATAAACCCCACCAGAGAATGAAGAACAAGCTCAGGCATGTTGATTCTACCACTGTAATGCTTAAGGTACATAGGTTTGAACAAAAGTAGGCTAGTGAGGTAGAGGCTTTGGCCATCCAAACAAAATGGATGGGCAGGCATTTCAAAAAGTCACAGAAAAAGTTACAAAATGATTACTTCATAGAACCAAAGGCTGCAGGAACTGAATAAAAGTTCTTTTAAGAACAACATGTCACTTCCCCCTCCTCAAACATAAAATCTCCAAGATGTTCTGACAACAAGGAAAAAATTAAAATGTACACATATAGATTTAAAATGCCTTAATTTGGGGGGGGGTTGTTAGTTTCTAAATTGTTTACTGCCTTAGAAAACTGCAAATAAATAGACTAAGGGAACACACGCATTTCTATATGAGCAGTGTGCTAGTATTTATTTGAATGCAGTGCCTTATACTTAACTGCTAAAGTAACTGTTTACTTAAAGATTAAATAAAAGTGACAGCTGTCAAATTCTCTGGCACCGAGAAACTATCTTAAAGTTGCAAGTGCAATTTGATCCAACACATTCACTTATCATCCTGACAACATGAGTCTGAGATTCTGAAAACAAAGAAAACAGAATATTCAAAACACAGAGTAAAACACAGAATATATTCTTAGCACTTCAGGATTCAAAAAGCGTTTCAAAAAGAATTGGAATAATCATTCACCAAGCTCAGCTGGTAAAAAAGGTCAGATTAAAATCCATCTCAGAACTACTTACAGCTCCAGTCTTAACAAGACTTACCCCTACGCTCAGTTAACTTTCCTGCAGGTGTCAAACACAGACAAGACTGATAAAGCTCTCCAAGGTGCTGACATGGCAGCTAGATGGTGCTCGGCACCTTGCAGGAACTGCCCTCAGCCTCAGGCAGTGGCTTTATTTACTTCCTTTAATGACTGACAGCACACAGTGCTTCTCCAGAATTCAGCCAGAAGCCTCCTGAGTGCTAAGTTTTAGGATAAGATAACTTTTACTGTGCTGAAGATTCAGCCAGGATTTCTGTTCCCTGCCAGCCTCTGCAGGTGCTGTAAGGCAGCCCTCCTGCCCTGCCTCTCTCCTCACACAACTCTGCACCCATTTACCTACACACAGCTCTCGACACCCAGCCCTCCGCACTACCAGCCCCATGACAGCCATGCTAGGGCACCAGAAATCTCAACATCTATTACCTGCTAATTAAAACAAACATAACTCAACAAAAGAACCCCAAACCCAAGTTAATTTTCCTATGTACATAGCTTAGAAAACACCAAAAGTTAGAGTCAGAGACTGCAACAAACACCTACCTCATTGGATCTTTTTATTATCTTGTCATCTATGTCTGTGATCCCCATCACCATGATAACTTCAATTCCAAAAAACTTGGTCATTATCCTTCGAATTATATCAAACCTAACATAGGAGCTGGAAGAGAAAAAGCACGAGCTTTTAAACATGCACTAGCAAAAAGAAACATAAACAAATAACCAATAGGACTAACAGCCACTGGGACAATTTAAATACCCCAACACTTGCAATAAAAAGATCTTCAGTGTATATAGTATTTTTTCTAAACCAGTTACCACCTGCACAAGTGTCAAGGAAATTTCCCTTGAACTGGTCTACCCTCTTCTGGCATTAGTGACACATTGCATCAAATTTTCTGAGTGTCTCCTTTTGTTGCATCTCTTTATTCAAGCACTGAAGGGCATCACAAGCCACGTGTGAGCCAAGAGATTCTAAGTGAATAGCACGAACCAAGATACAAAGATCAGGTATTCTTGAAATACATCCCTCAGGCTTTGTGTATTTTAACAGGTTTTCAAACGTCATGCGGCAGAAGATCTTTCCTAATAGCAAAGAGTAGCTGCTCTGTGGGTTGTTTTACTTACACTTGAGAATAAAAGTTATTCTCAAAATTACTCATGTTCTTTGTCACAAAACAGAGTATTTAATGCTGATAGATCAATGCATGTACAAGCTTTACAGGGCTGTTGCAGCTCCTTCTGCTCACAGACTCTTCGTTTGTAATTCTCAAAACACACTTTGACTGAGTAAAACCCAATTATTAGGTGAGATACTAGAAGGTGAGTAGAAACTCTGGGTCTGCCCTGCAAAGTGATGAGAACCCTCAGCCTTTCTGTGGGCTCTCTTTTCTCCAAAGCCAGCAAGGAGATTCAGACCTACAGGTTCCCATTTCACCCACAGCACCACACAAACTGCCAGTCCCGTGGCTGTAAGAGCAAAGAAGTGTAACCAAATACTAGAAACAGATTTGCACCCTTCCCCTTAGCTGCAAGTGCTAGGTGGTACCAAGGTACTGATTTATGGATGTGCAATACATCGTGCAAGAAAAGTATTTTCTGTTGTTGTTGTTTGTGCCACACCCACGTTGAGAAAAGACCTTCTGAAAGCCTTGCTGCCAGGGAGAGAGTTTTAATGAATAGCAGCTCAGGGGGAATAAGGTTCATCTAATGTGGTGACACAATTCCATAAGAATATTAAATTCATCTTTGGATCCTGTTCAGAGGAACAATGTCAGCATCAAAAGCTTGATATTAGATTTAACAGCCCTGCAGTCACTGTTCCCAGAGCAGACACAAATTTCACACTGTTCCCACTCCTCTGATCTTCCAACTGAATTGATGGAAGAAATACTGCAAGAGCCAGAGCAGATCTCCTGACACCTCAGAAACCAGAGTCCTTACTACCTCAGGACTGAAAATTAAAAAAGGAAAAAAAAGAACAAAAACAGTCAAAATCAAGGGGTGGCAGACCAGGTACAAGGGACTGAATGAAAGGTCTTCTCATGCTTGATTTTACTCTTATTTCCAAGCATCAAGCCAGGAACCTGGATGCCAACCAGGCTACAGCTCAAACCAGTACAATCAAGGTCAGTCCCAGAACTGAGGCGAAAAAATATTATTTTCCTGTCTTACTTTTTCTTTATATAGAATGGGTGTTGGATGTCATATGGAGGCACACAGAGCACCTGTTTTTAAGACTGGAAGTACAACATACTAGAAAGTTGGACTATTTAGAGAGATAAGAATGCCTTGTGGAAGGGAAGGAGGAGGGGAAAAAATAATAATGCCATTATTTTCAAATTCTTCTCAAGAATCTCAAGCTCTTTTCCATTATTCCTTTCTGCATTATTACCTATGCATTTGTTGTGCATGCCACAAGCCAAATGTAAGAAGGAGGGGGAAAAAGGGAATTCTAGTGAGAAGATAACATGTTGCAAGAGTACAACAAAACAATGGTATTTGACAAGAGTGGCACAGCACCAACAGTCACCGCTGCATTTCACTTCATGCTATTTCCCAGGGCATCTCCTGTCTGTAGAGCCGCCATCAGCAGCATACATTTCAGCTGTTCTATGGTTGGACCTAGCTGCTGGGGAGAAAACATACAATCTTAATAAATAAATAAATAAATAAATAAATAAATAAATAAATAAGTAGATCCAAGAGTGCTCCACTATCCTGAACAAATCAGCTGAGCACCAGGACGTCAACACTGACAAGTGGAACACCAGAGATATCGGAAAGCAACAGCCAACTCCTCCCATGCCAGAGGGTTTAACTGATGGGAAAAGAGAGCAGAAGGTCTTCAGTGCAGGCACCTTGTTGCACAATAACACTACAGGAACAACGTGTGAAGGTGCAGCAGAAGAAAGAATAATACATGGTGTATCTGCACGATACACCAAAGGCAACATTCAGCACTAACTCTTTTCTTAAATCAGCAAGTGAAAACCCAGGTGATGTGGATGTATGGCAAACCTCCACGTAATGAAAGCTTGAAATTGCTGTTTGGACACAAGATAAGAAAAGACGGGTAAGAGAAGAAGCAGAGTGAGCAAGGCCTCTGTACTCCCTCTTTTAATCAAATGAGTCTGAAAGTAGGAAAACTACTGACAAAAACAGACATTTAAAAGCTACAGAACGCTGCAAGACCAAAGGGTAAAATTCTCCACCCCTATAAACACTGTGCTTTAGACCCAGCAGCAGAAACAACTTGTGATGTACTGAGCATAACCAGCATTCCCTGTCTCCCTGAGCCACTGGGTAAGAGGAGGTAGAACTTGGGAAGGAGGGAGGAATGGAGGGAAGATGTTTTTAAGACGTATTTTACTTCTCATTATCCTGATCTGATTCTGTTAATAATAAACTTAACTAATATCCCCACTTTGAGTCTGTTTTGCCTGTGACAGTAGTTGTTGAGTGATCTCTCCCAGTTCTTAACTCATGAACCCAACGTTATGTTTTCTCTCCCCTCTCCAGCTGCAGAGGGGAGTGACAGAGTGGCTTTGGTGGGTACCTTGGCCTCCAGCCAGGGTCAACCCACTACAGAGTGGAATTTTAAATCTTCCCTTTCAGAGAACGAAGCAGCAGTTGTGCAGTACTGCAATGGCTCAACACTGAGCAAAATTCAACATGAGTTTCTGAATGAAGTTAAGATAGGACCAGAAGCTGTGAAATCCCCTACATTAAAAGGAATTATTCAATTACTGGAATGCACAGTATCTCATCTTCATTCAGATGGTAACTGAGAAAACTCTGCTCTTCCAAAGAGCCCAACACATCTTGCTTTTTAAGAATGAGGAGGCAGAAGTTCAAGAGCAGCTTGAGCTGCTGCAACTCCTCTCAGCCTCACAGGAACAGTGGACACCCTGCATGTCTATTCATCAGGCATGTTCTTTCAAAACAACCGGCAGCAACTTTCTCTGGTGTATTTAAAGTACTTTTTGATAGTTACTTACAATGAAGCTGGTTTACTATTGTAATCATCCTAATGAACTACAGAGAAGATGTGCTGTTCTGGATCTTTTTTTATTTTTAAACATAGTAAGCCACCGAACTCCTACTATGTAAAAAGGCCTTTAATCTACCTGGGCTTTGAGATTTAAGAATTGATGCTAACCTTAAAGTATGTTTTCAATACTCAACCCTGTACAGCTTTTCCTTAGTGCCTACACAGTGCCCAAACTAAATCTGAGGTGAAACTATCATTTTACACTGCTGAGAGACTCTTCTCCAGGACCATAATTCCCTTGTATGAGAGGATGCATTATGCTGATATGATTTGAAACAACTCACCCTACCCAGACAAACTGTGCACATTTCCAACACTTCTTCCCAACACACACACATTTGTCTCTGCCTGAGCCGGGCAGCACCAACAGCCCCTTTATGGGCTCCCCCAGCCCAAGAAGAAAAAATACATAACAAACAGACTTTTGCCCTTTGCACAGCACGGGAGGTGAAGGGCCAGGCCTGGTGTCCCAGTCCCAGCTCTGTCACCTGGCCATTTGCCAGGGGCCAGGGATGCCCCGCACTCCCACTGCCTGGCTCCTGCCTGGCACCCCACACTCACCAGGCGTGCCCGAGGTGTGCCTGGTCATACACCGTCGGCCCGCAGCTGTACCTGGGGAGAGGGGGCAAACAGAATCACAGAATTGTTAGGGTCCTGTGGAGATCATCTGGTCCAACCCCCTTGCCAAGGCAGGGTCACCTAAACTGGGTGACACAGGAACATGTCCAGGTGGGTTTAGAGTGTCTCTACAGAGCGAGGCTCCACAACCTCCCTGGGAAGCCTGTTCCAGTGCTCTGCCCCCCTCAATGTAAAGAAGTTCTGACTCACGTTGAGGTGAAACTTCTTGTCTTTTAGTGCATGGTTATTGATCCTTGTCCTGTCTCTGGGCACCACCAAAAAGAGCTTGGCAGCATCCTCTTGGCACCCATCTTTAAATTATTTAATAAATGAGGTCCCCTCTCAGTCTTCTCTGGACTAAACAGGCCCAGCTCCCACAGTCTTTCCTCATACGAGAGATGCTCCAGACCCCTCCTCATCTTTGTGCTCTCCGCTGGACCTTCTCCAGTAGCTCCTTGTCTTTCTTGCACTGAGAAGCCCAGAACTGGGCACGGGAACCCTTTCCGGACACCAACTGCGGCCGTCACCCCGTCACCCCCACGCCCGCCCGCCGCCAGGCGCTACCAGGTCGCCACTCCCTCCGTGGCCAGCACGAGCGGCTCCTTGCTCCGGCTCCGGCTGTTGTAAGCCACGATCCCGCAGTCGCGCCCCGCCGGCGGCGCCCACTCCCGCCGCGTCCCCGCACCACAGCACCGCCGCGTCCCCGCCTGCCCCTGGCCGGGGCCGGGGCCGGGACCGCGGCCGAGCCCGCAGAGCCGGGCCGCCGTCGCCGCCCCGCGCAGCATGGCCCGCACAGCGCCGGCCGCGGTCGGGGAGCGGGGCCGCGACACAGCCCGGGCAGGACGCGCGGCACAGCACGGCGGGCACCGCCGGGGCGCAGGAAGGGGCGGCGCCTGCGGGCGGGGCCGGGCCGGGCCGGGCCGGGCGCCACCGCCGCCGCTCGCTGCGCTCCGGAGCGGGCCCGGGGTGAGTGCGGCGGGCGGGGGAGC